CACTGGCCAAAAAAACCAAAACACTAATTCAAAAAAATATATGCACCCCTATGTTCATTACAGCATTATTTACAATAGCCAAGATATGGAAGCAACCTAGTTGTTCAATAGATGAATGGATAAAGAAGATGTGATATGTTTATATATTCCATATATAACAATTTCAAGTAACTAACTATTAACATTAACCATTAACATTAACCTAAACCTTCAGAATCTTGGGTTTTTAGAGAACATGTAAGAGTTTCATGATTATAACTATAAAGCTGACCTTTTCCTGACATCTTTATAAGACATACAGTTGGAGGTAGCTGTAGTTTCTCAAACAGATTTTTAAAACTTCAAATTTAGCCTTTCCCACAGAATGTAAGAAATAGATGGCTGACTTCAGGAAAATAAATTCTACTTCCTTGAAAATCAGCATTTATATACGTTTAGTACCTTAGTTTATAAACTCTTATTTTAAAACAGGATTTAAACTGTTACCCTGAAAGTATAAAAGTAGCATTTACTGAACTTTATAATTTACGAAATTCTGTTCATATCCATCAGAAGTTTTCATAAGAGTCACAAAGTTCAGGTGCTATACTGAGCCTTAATATTAATTTTTCATTTAATCCTCACAGCAGCCCTCTGACGTTGGTTCTCTTTTCCTTATTTATAAGTAAGGAAACGGGTTTATAGAGGTTAAGAAACTTGCCCATGTCCCATAGCTAGGAAACCATGGAGTCAGGGATTGAGCCCTTACTCTTAACAACTAGGCATGTATCCACATTACCCCTATTTTACAGATAAAATAAATGAGCCCTTGGAAATATTTGGAGACTTTTCCAAGGTTGCTTAATTAGCACGTGATGGAGCCAGGACAAGAAACCCTGAGTGTCCCATCCACCAGGCCAGTGCTCTCTCCCAGCACGCTCAGAGTGGCCGTCTCAGTGGGTCAGCGTCCACTTTGGGAGCTCACTCTAATGATGTCAGAAGCAGAAAGGTAGGATTCAGGATTTTGGTAGCAGCATTTTAATTTGATATAAATGACCCAGCTGAATTAGCCCTAAATTAGGACAGTATGTGTCTAGAGACTGAACTGGTATTTGTTATCCCGGCCATATTCACATTGTTCTCTGTACATGCATTCTTAGGAAGAGGAGAGTCATCTGGACCTTTTACTGAGCTTTCTTCCCTACTTTGCCGCCATAGTTTCTATGACAGACTCAGAAGTCAGGAGTCCTTCTACAATTCAAATCATAGCAGCAGTATCTGCTGTTTATTGTGTTTATTTCCTGTTATACATCGAGTATTATGTTAAATGCTTTAACATTTTTACAGATTTATTATCAGTCCTAAAAGAGATCAGTACAAACACATTTGCCATATTATTCTTTATACACTACTTAAAGAAATATAAACATTGCAAATACAGTTTGAGCACCTGATGTATACTTTTCCAATTGCATTTTCCTCTCTGCTTCTGACAGATAACCACTATCTTACAAAGTTTGGTGATTATTGTTCCCATGCTTTTTTATAAAAACATTGCTATTCATATATTTACCTTTAAGCAATATGTCGTGTAGCTTTTTTAACTTTGTAAAAAAGGCATTTTATTGTGAGTAATCTATGCCACTTGTATTTTTTCTTTTATGTTATATTTTTAAGAGTTATCCATATCAGTGAGTGTGCCCTTGGTACGTTTTTTATTTTTATTTTTGCCACTATTTGAATAATTAGTTGAATTATGTACCACTGTTTATCATTTTCCTGTTAACGGAACGGTGCTGCTGTGAGCATTCTTTGTACATGTTTCCTTGTACACAGAGGTCCTTAGGGTACTAGGAATGGAATTACTGTATAGTAGGACATGTACATCTTCAGACTGAGCAGATACTGTCTAATTGTTTCCTATAGAGTTTGCACTCCCTCATGCAGTGTCTGAGTTCTCATTTCTCCATGTCTCTAAATAGCACTTGATATCATCAGACTTTCCATTCTATTTATTGGATGTTAAATATTGCCTTATGCTTTTTCACATGTATCTTTTTTCCTAATTTGGTGGAAGCCTACCAATGTCAGGATAAAAGATCAAGCCTAAGAGAACCTAAATAACTTATTCAAGGTCATACAACCAGAACGTGGCTTACCCCGGATTAGATGATAGCTCCACCAGCACCAAAGCCTGTGACTGCTCCTCTGTACCTCCCTGCCTGGGCAGGGATCACAGTACTGACAGTAATAGAGCCCACTCAGTAATTTATAGACTAATGATGGAATTCTCTGTGTTATGTCCTGCCTTTTCTTTCATTTCCTCATCTGACTGTTTCCTGAGAACTTCCACTAGCTAGCTTTCCTGTTTTAGAAAAGAAAGGAATTGTTATTAAAAGGGTTTAATAAACACAATAGCAAGCCTGGCTCTGGCCTATGTGTACCTGGTATCCATGTTTGTCTCTCAGTGTATTGAGAGGGCCTGTCCTGACCCCAAGGCGCCATAGCGGAGGACCTTTTCCTCTTCCTGACTCAGGAGCTTCTAGGGATACAGAACTGCCATTCTGGGGTGTGCTTCTAAATGGACGACCATTTCCTTTCTGTCGTCATTAGGATGCCTGAAAACGGCCAGGCAGCAAACAAAGGAGTATGTAGATTTGTAGAATGGTATCTATTTGTGGCTAAAAGCTACTTTTCAGAACAAATGTGGTTGTCTCTATTTATCTGTCTAACCAGAGATCCAGTATCATTAGATTGTGTACCTTAGGTGAGCCAGATAGTTGTTGACAGTGGCACCTTTGGCTCATTTTTCATTTAACTTTTTGTTGACGTATAATAAATTTACAGAAGGGTATGTTGGTTTTGATAAATTGTTGTTTTTTACTTTTGCTGCTGTTTGAAGAATCAACTAAATAAATATACCACTGTTATTTATGTATAACTCGTTGAATTTTCAAAACCTGAGCTCAGCACAGAGTCAGCATCCAATCAAGGAACAGAACATTACCAGCACCTCAGCAGCCCTCTTTGTACCGTTTTGTAGTTGCTATCCACCCCCAAGGTAACCTCTGTTCTGCCTTCACATAACCCAGATTAGTTTTTGTATATAAATGAAATGATACAGTGTATATACTCTTTGGGTCTAGCTTCTCTCATTCAGCCTTAAAGTTGTGAAGTTTGTCCATACTGTTACATGTAAATATTCATTCTCTCTGCTTTATAGTATTCTGCTGTGGCCTTTTGGCTTATTTTAATATAATTGTCAGTATTTTGCTAGTGATCCATGTTTTAGTGTGTTTAGAGTATGCTTCTGCTTTATCTCTGTATTTTAAAATTTCTGTATCTTTAAAAAAAGAAAGAGATTAGAATGGTTAGATAGTCAGGTACATTCAGATCAAAGCAGAATGAGCTAGAGCTGGTTAACCTGAAAGAATTTTAAATTCTAAATGGATTCCATGATCCTGGTCTTCATAAACTTTGATCTGAGATTTTTTAAAAAACTAGAATATTGATTAGATTGTGAGTAGGCGAATCAGATCACATTTAGACTAAAAAATCTGACTTCTATTATCACATTTATAGTCTGTTGAAATAAAACTTAATTACCCCAAGTTTGGGTGTCCCAGTGTGTTGCTCTTTGTCCAAATAGGTAAGAATCTGAGCTTGGCAGTGTAAATGACTAAGCTCTAAGCCTGGTCCCTCTGGAACAGAGGCTTTTAGAATCTTCATTTAGTGGAAAAGGGAAGCACTATCAATGCTCAGGTTTCACTGTAAAATGAGAGAACTTCAAACCATTACCCAGCAAAAAGCATAATTTTTTCCCTGAAGAATTGAGCTTGGGGTACTTTAAAAAACATCTGAATCCTCTGTAAAAAGTGAGGGGATGTCCCAGGACCCCACGTAGAGCTGACCTGGAATTGAAGTGGATGTTTAGTCAGAAACTGAGAAGACTAGTTAAGAACCCAGAAACTTGACTTCTGCTAGTGAAGTTGATTACATTTGACTGCTTTGTAACTAGGAAAAGGTTAATGAGAACGTGGGTGCAATCTGAACTAGATCTGGTGATGCAGGCGTCCTGGTGCCTGAATCGGCTCCCCGCTAGCTCTCAGACGGGTCTGAGGTCGCCATCTGGTGGCTGTCTTTGGATATCCAGTTCGGTGAAAGGGACTCCCAGTGTCAGTTCATCAGCTATTATATTAATCCAAAGGGGAAAATTACATCAAGAATATGTTCTGCCATAGTTTCATCTCTGCAAATGAAAGACAGGAGCTCATTTAAGCAGGAACAATAATAAAAGTTATACTAGGTAGGATCTTAGGATATTTCTAGTCAAGATGCCATTTTTAGAGAGACAACAATCATTGAAATTTCATCTCTCAGTCTTCACATTGCAAGATCTTTATTAAAAAGGTTGTATGTAGACATTTTGGCCATTTGTTTTGACCTGCATATTTCATTCTAATTTGATTAGTTACTTGATTTCATAAGAGATCTTATAGTGGTACATCACTTGAGACTTATAAAAATAGCATTGAAGCCTATTTTTACTAGTCTAGATCAAATTCATGAGAATTTATATTACAGATTTAATGCTTCAGCCAAGAATAGTACATTTATTTCCACAAGTAACTTGACAAGTTCTAAAAAGATTCCTTAGTGACTCTTCAGTTAGTTACGGAGCCTGTAGGGAATTAAAGTACGTATGAATGAAGGCCATGTGGGTCTCATTTTATCTTACAAGTGCTCCTAATACCTACTATCTCACAGGGTTTTTAAGAAGTAAATTTTTATAAAGGACTTTAAGTTCCCAAGGGAATATTTTCTATAGTTTAAAATGTTACAAGTTTGTACTATACTGTCTTGTTTATCCAGCTTGCATTCAAATATATTTGACTAATCATTATGTGTGTTAGCTTGAACTCTTGTTTTTTAAGTTCACCTTATAGCAATGTTTTAATAAGTATGAAATTTTAAGTCCACGTATTTTGCTTTTTCTAAGGAATGTTTTTTCTCCCTTTTAGGTAACAAATATACTCTAGAGACTAGACCAAACCAAGAAGGCATTGATGTAAGACAAGAGCTACTGAAATTCCATTCTACTTATTATTCATCCAACTTAATGGCTATTTGTGTTTTAGGTCGAGGTAAGAATCCTTAAAATTTTTTCATTGAATTGGATAATGAAATTTTCCCTTTGGGCTTTTTCAAAGTATTTGGAAGAAGAACATAATAAGATTAATTTTTATCTGCTCAGAGGCTTTTGAAAATGATCTTCTTGTAAAAAAAAGAGCTTATGTGATTTTCAGTGGAGACCTGAAGGAAATATAAATTAATCACAGGTACTCTAAGTATATAAAACAAGGAAAAGAAATATAAAGGAAAAGATTGATAGATTTGACCTGTTAACTCAGAAAACTAGAAATAATATTAAAAGGCAGATGGTGATAAACTGGGAAAGCTTTGGAATATAAACAACAAAAGTTTGATTTTTTTTTAAATGCATATTAACTAATGGTAACATTGTTTCTTCCTATTAAGTTACCATAATTTTGTTTTTGGTTTTGTTGTAAGTAATACTCGTTACAGAAGAGAGGTATGCTTTTGTATTAGAGGTATGCTTTTGTATTGGTGGTGGTGTATATAATTTATATGGTTCCATACTTCCTGGAGGACAGTTTAACAAGATGTATCACCTTTGAAAAGTACACACTGGCTTCCCAGCGCTTACCACAGGCTGTGGGCTGTGTTCTTACCCTGACTGTAGAGAAAGAGGAGGCAGAGTAAACCCACCACATATACACCTCAGCCCCTGCGCCTTGCCTGGTCCATACTGTGAATGGGAGGACACGGGGAGAAAATGCACATTTCTACTTTTAGAAATTCAATCTAAGGAGCCCTGGCTGGTGTGGCTCAGTGGATTGAGTGCCGGCCTGCAAACCAAAAGGTCACTGGTTCGATTCCCAGACAGGGCACATGCCTGGGTTGCGGGCCAAGTCCCCAGTAAGGGGTGCATGAGAGGCAACCATACACTGATGTTTCTCTCCCTCTCTTTCTCCCTCCCTTCTCCTCTTTCTAAAAATAAATAAATAAAATCTTTTTTAAAAAAGCGGGGGCATAAGGAAATAATCGGCGTTGTCCTAACAGGTGATGTACAAGTATTTTTGGAGGGGGGAGGGAGTCAATATAGTACTTATTAGTGAAAAGTTAGAAACAACCTAAATGTTTAAAATAGGAAATTGGTTGAAATAGTGATTAAAGCAATATAATAGATCATTTTATAGAAAATAGTATTTCTTCTCTCACTTTCTGTCTTTCCTGCTTTATTTTTCCTTAAAACATTCATTACCACCTGAAATATTAAATTTTTGTTTATTATTGTCTACCCTATCAGAATCTTAGCTACTTGAGAATAGAAACTGTTTTGTTCATTGCTTTGTCCCCAGTGCCTGGGATGGTGCTTGGGGACAAAATAGAAAACAAAGCACTTTATAAAAATACTATGTGCTATGTGATCCCATTTGTGTATGTAAAAAATTCTAATAGATATAAATTGGAGACACAAAAGAAAGTACAAAAACACACATCAGAAATTTAATAATGTGGGAAAGTAGTTAAGAACTCATCCCCTAGAGTCCGAGAGCTTGGGTTTGAATTCCAAATATACTACTTATTCACTTGTGTGGCTGTGAGCTAACAAAGTTTACTTCAGTTCTATGAACTTCAGTTTTTGCATTTCTAAAATGGAGTTGATGCCTCATACCTGTTATAAGGTTTAATTGAGATAATGTAGAAAAAGTAGTCAGTGTAGTGCTGGATGCTTCATAGCAAATGCTTTATGAATGGTGGTTACTCTTACATCCTGTAATCATGAGATTATGGATGACTTTTGTTTTCTTTTTGCTTTTGTTTTTCTAAGTTTTCTGCCATTAGCAAATGTTAGTTTTGTAGTTAGAAAATAATTATATATATAATATATATATTTATTTTAATTAGGCTGTAGGAGTTAAGATATAAAATGAGTCCAAGAAGTGAGTGCTAATAAAAGCAAGTATAATCCTATGTGTTTTCTAAATGGAGATAGGTCTAGAGTGTTAAATATCATTAGAATGTAGAGCCTAGTCCTGAGAATAGATGCTTAAGCTATGTTTTTGCCTGTCGTATTGAGAAAAAAAATATTATTTCAATAAGCACTTATGGGACAGGTTAATGATAGCAGATCAGTCAGACACGAGTGCCACCCTCAGTGTTCTTGTTTTAGTGCCAGTGACAGAATAGTGTCTAAAAGGAAACATTTCAGCTCCCTCATCATATACGCCTTGCTCTCCCAGTGTGACCGACCTCCTGTGCTGAGGAGGCTTGATGGGGGCCTGGGAGAGCTGCCCTCGCAGTACAGAGGTGTTCAGGGGAAGCAGGGTCTCTTAGAGGGTTAATAGGTGATCTATCCCTCCTTCTAAGAGGAGGGGAAGAGTTACCCTGTGGAAGGTTCTTTGTTCTCCTGCAGGGCCTTCCCTCTAGTTGTGTGAGCGCTAATTACATGGACACTTGGCAAATAGCTAACTATCAAGTATAGACTCTGGGATGCCAAGTCCTGATGATGTAAAAGTGAATGAGACCCAGTTCTCTGGTCTCTGGGAGCTCACAGCTTAGTGGCGAAGACAGACTAGTATTGTACAGCTGCTTTACCTTTAAAAAACTATATTGTGAATTTATGCTTTTAGGCTAGAAATTCTCAAGGCACACCTGGTAGAACCTTGCTCTAACGGTCTTTACCGACATCAGCACTTCAGGTCAACAAACCTTTGTTCATTGCCCACCTTGTTTCATGTCATATGACCTATCTGTGTCTCTCTATATCAGACACAGATACTTTGGAGTGTTTCTCACTCCAAAAATACCTGCTCTGTTCCCAGATTCACTTGTCATGGAACACTCAGCCATTGGTCTGCCTTTTATTTGGCTCTAAACACTTTGGGGTCCTTCACACATGTCAAAAAAAAAATGAAGTAAAAATAGTGTATGTTTTGTAAATACAGTTCAAATGCTTGCATTTATAGGCCTAGAAGAGAATTTCATACTACATAAAGGTAGTTCTCAAATAGTGATGAACTGCTCTCTAAAAAGTTCATGGAAAAGTTCAAAATGGGTCATAGAGTATCAAGGGAAATTTCTTATTTGATCCAAATGCTTCTTGACAGTAACAAGTGATGAATGTTTATACCATTTATAAGTAACCTATTTTTAAGGAGACAGAATCAAGGTAAGTGGTTATCTTGTTTATAAAAAGATAACCTTTTTTCATTTTTTCCTTTTTAGAATAATAGTAATGTCTATACATGGGAAAATTTTCATCTGACACTGAAAGGTATAAGATGGAAATCAGGTTCTTCTTCCTCATCCCATCCTATGACCTCTATACCTTCTTAAAGATAGTCAGTCACCTTCATTTAAAAAAAAGAAAAGAAAAAAGTTACTATGGCATTTCTTATACTTTGAAAGTAGAATTTTGTTAATATACTTACATATGTGTATGTATGTTAAAAAATTAAGTGAATCTTGGCCAATGTGGCTCAGTTGGATGGAGTATTCTCTCATAACCAAAAGGTTGCAGATTTGATCGCTGGTCAGGGCATGTGCCTAGTTTGCGGGTTTGATCCACCATCCAGGCATATACAGGAGGCAACAAGTCGATGCTTCTCTCTCACATCCATGTTTCTCTCTCTTCCTCTCTCTAAAAGCAATGAAAAAATGTCCCTGGGTGAGGATTTTTTTAAAATTTAAATGAGATTATATCATGGCATTGTTTTATAAAGTTTTACTTAAAAGATCTTTGAGATATTTCTATATTGGTGTATACAGTTCTCTTTCTCATTAATGGCTGCATAAAATTCTAATGTATAGATGTTTCATAACATCCACACATTGATAGATGTGTATGTCATTTCATATTTTTGTTGTCATAAACAGTGCTGCAGTGAACATGTTATAACTTTATAAACTTTTGTAAGTGTAACTCTTTATTAAAAATATAGGTAGATAATAACATAGGAGAACTTTATTTAAGTGGCCACATAATTTTATCAGTGGTTAAAAGTCTTTGAGTGAGTTTGGCATATTATAGTAAAGAATCATTTGATGTTAGACCTTGGAAGAGACTTGTAACCAACTTTCTTTTTTTTACAGAACCTGAAGTGGTTAACCAGTTTGTCCAAGTAGTCAGTTGACATGGTTACTTGGTAAAGCTGGGGTTAGAATCCAGGTCCCCTGATCCCCACCCACCCAGGATTCTTTTCACCATTTTATACTATTTCCCCATAAAATCAGTCACTTGCAAACTAGCATTTGACTTTTAACAATGGTTACAGACTGTATCTATTTATGAAGTGAATGTCACATCTGTCAGCTGATGGTTTAGCATGGGAATCAGATAAAATAGTCACTTTTCAGACATGTGAGGTATAATCATTATTATCAATATTGTTTAGCAGCTTTAGAAGCTATATAGGCACTGGTAGGACTTAACTGAGTGCTTCTATTTTATCTGAAGGAGTTTTGTTTTGTTTTGTTTTGTTTTGTTTTAAATTCTAGGTTTCCATTTTAATAGTCCTGGGGGGTTTTTTAAGGAGATTTCTAAGATTCCCCACCCCCTACCTCAGCTTTATTGAGATGTAACTGACATACAGCATGTGTAAGTTTGAGGTGTATGATATGATTCTGTATGACCCTAAGGTCCTAAACACTACTTGTCATATGTTATGATTAGATTAAATTCTATTTTCCTTGTCTGTTTTCTTACAGAGTCATTAGATGAGTTGACTGATCTTGTGGTGAAGTTATTTTCTGAAGTAGAGAACAAAAATGTCCCATTGCCAGAATTCCCTGAACACCCTTTCCAAGAAGAACATCTTAGAGTAAGTGCATGTGTTTCTGGTTTTGTTTTTCTGTTTTTGTTTTTTTTTTTAATTTATAGACTTATATGAAGAGGAACCCAAAAAAACCAATTTATAAAAAATTGTGTATTTATTCTTATATGTTTAAACTTCAGACACCTTCAAAGTACTCTCCATTTGATGCCATACACCTATCAAGACATTTTTTTTTCCACTGCTGAAAACAGTTTTTGAACTCCTTGATTTTGATGCCTTTTAGTGCTTCCACCATTTTTTTTGTTTCCCTTTGAAGATTTTTTTCATCCAGGGAAACCAAAAAAAAAAGTCTCTCAGAGTGAGAGTAGGGACAGTGGGGTACAGGGGGCATGCCATTTTTGGTCAAAAACTGCGAAACTGTCAGTGCAGTGTGGGCAGGTGTGCTCATAAATCACTCATCATGAAATGAGCAAACATGTTGAAAGAGTCTTCAGGTTCAGTGAAAAAATTCACTGAAGCCAAATGCATCCTCTCACAACAACGCCAGCTGGCACACTGATACAGATGGGTTCCTAGAACACCCAGCTGGCCGGGGAAGCCTGTTCTACAAGAGGCCTGCCCTCCAGGAGATAATTCTGAGTTTTTGGGGGTCCCCCTCCTATATACCTAGTTTACCAAAGAGTACATGGAGATGTTTGGAGGTTTTATTATTTACATAGTTTTTAATATTTATCTGGAAAGTCAAATCAATTTCACATTTATTAGGGACATATATCACCCAAAAGATACCAATATAATCTGATCTGTGCACGCTAAAGGTAGTTTTGATAGCTATAACCTTGGAGGACTGTAAAAGCTAGAATGCAGTGCCAGATGGCAAACATCCGGAAGGATTTAGCTGCATGGTCTGGGGGACAAAACACGCACTTGATGCCGAGTGTAATGACATCCCACCAAAAAAGATGCCGGGTGACTGTTGCTTTATGGTCAGTGTGATTTTCTTTGGCAGTTGACTGTCTCTTAATTTAGAATTCTTCCATTAAAATAAGTTATTCTTCATAGTTTATAAATATTTCAGTCAGTGGGAATTGTATGTAGCTAATCTTTTGTGATTTGTTTGTTTTTCCCCGCCAGAAAATTTATAAAATAGTGCCTATTAAGGATATTAGGAATCTTTATGTGACATTTCCCATACCTGACCTTCAAAAATACTACAAATCAAATCCTGGTCATTATCTTGGTCATCTCATTGGACATGAAGGTCCTGGAAGTCTGTTATCAGAACTTAAATCAAAGGGTAAGTCTCTTGAGCACCAGCTTCTGAGTATAGTACCACACCATATCTTTTTACCCTGGCTCTCATTTTCTCCTAAATATTTTTCTGTGAAAGAACAGTTTTGGATGAGAGACTGTTTAGGGTTTATGGGAGGGAGAGATGGTGGTTGTTAAGTGTGCTTAGTTTTTTGCTTTGGATTTTTAAAATGTTTTTCCTAATTTATTTTACCCTTCAGCATTGAACAGTAAAGATTAGATGTTTCATAAGATATTGCAGTGCTTCTTTTAAATTTAAAAAGAGGTTAAAAAGTATAAACTTACATTGAATATTTTTTCCCATCACTATGAAATGTCAGTATTCATTATTTATTTGCCTGTCTTACTCTTCAAACCAGAGGATGTGGTAGGATCTAGCCAATAAGTGATTTCCAAGGCCCCTCTCAATTCAGGCTTTGCTCTACCTAACACTCAGATACAGTATTCTACTCTTGATTTGGGAACTGGCTTGAGGAGTCCTGAAGAAATCTTCCAACCCCGCAAAAATCCCTTGAGTCTTCTGCAGTATCTGAAATTGCTTTTATGAACTTTTTTCTGTTTTCTTTTTCCAGTCTTTTCTGCAAGAGGTCCATTCTAATCTTTTGGGAACATATAATATGACATTTAAAAAAAAAATTCCCTGTCCTAAAAGAGGCCATACATACAATCATGTTATTTCTGTTGAATGTTACAGGATGGGTAAACACTCTTGTTGGTGGGCAGAAGGAAGGAGCCCGAGGTTTTATGTTTTTTATCATTAATGTGGACTTGACTGAGGAAGGATTATGTAAGTATTGACTTTTTTTGTTTTTGAATGAAAACTGACTTTGTGTGATTTGTTTCTTTATGCTGTGGATCTGTTTTATGTTGTAAAGCTAAAAACATTTTAATTTGTACACCTTTTCCATTGTATTTGTCATTTGTAATGTGCCGTTCATTTCATGGATGATTTCCCCCTGTAACATCTGATCATTATGTTGCACTTGTAAACTGTGTACTTGGCTCCTTCACTACTCCAGAGCCTGTTCCATTGCATCCCAGAGGCTGGAGGGCCTTGTGTGTGGGACCCTGAAACCAGTCTCAGGGAGGTGAGAACTTCCTTTTGTAGAGGGGATCGATCATCTTCCACTTACCTGACTTTACCTTAGGAGTGAGCTCACTGCTTTAAAGAATTTGAGGACTGAATGGTTTTTAAGTGTGCCCCTTTTTTCCAGTACATGTTGAAGATATAATTTTGCACATGTTTCAATACATTCAGAAGTTACGTGCAGAAGGACCTCAAGAATGGGTTTTCCAAGAGTGCAAGGTACTTTTGTTTCACCAAAATTCTTCTTAAGGGAAATTTTCAGAAAACATAATATACGAGTATGTGAATTAATGTAAATTTAGGGCCCAGTGAAACTTTTAAAGTATTTTTTTCCTAATCTAAATAAAACTTTATAATGCATAGTAACTTTCGATGAGGCTTAGTTGTACTAGTCGGATTGGCTGCCTGGGGCACAGTTAAGGGTTAAGGCATCATACAGCCTTTTTTAGGAGGGAAAAGGGAATTCTATCCCTCAGAAGAATGGCAGCAGTTTCCTGAACTTGTACCTGGGTTTACTCTACTCTGCCTGAAGCTGCATGAGCTCTTTCATTTTCAGAATTGATAATAAAATCTGTAGCAAACTTCAAATAAATAGTGAGTTGTCTTATATATGATTGTGGTCTTAAGAGTGATTTTATTGTCTATATGGAAAAGCCTAACTCCTTTCCTCCCTCCCTTCCCTCCTTCCTTCTTTCCCTCCTTCCTTTCTTCTTTCATAAGAAAAAATGTTGTCTTCTAAATTTTTAAAGGCTTCTTTTTAAAGGGCTTTAAAACTATGTGTTTTATTTATTAGGCCTATCAGTATTCTGAAATGTATTTTAGGATGAGAGACATGACAGTAGTTCTAATCTGGGTGCAGTTCTCTGAATGGGTCAACAAAATTATATATGCAACTAACTGTTGGATCTCACAAGTAATTTCCCTAGTTGCTTGTTATTTTTATTCATGATCTGTACATTTTTAAATCAAGCATAGTCATTTTTTTCTGAAAGTGTAATGAAGTTAAGTATGTAATAGAAAATCTATAGTGCAAACCACACACACACACACACACACACGCACACAAGGTATTTGTAAATAATAGTTCACTTATATCTAATTGGATTAACTTTCCATTTTAGGACTTGAATGCTGTTGCTTTTAGGTTTAAAGATAAAGAGAGGCCACGGGGCTACACCTCTAAGATCGCGGGAATATTGCATGTAAGTTTGCTGTTATTTTATTGTATGTATTGGTGTGTAGAATATTTCAGTGATCCTGCATATATTACTTTCAATACTATACAAGTGATAAAAACTGAAACTGCAGTATAAAATTTTAGACTTTAGCAACTTGGCAAACTTTGATGTCAAGACCTGCTTAAAATATTAATTTTCATCATCCTAAAAATTATCATCTATAATATTTTTCAGTACATAGGCATTTTGCTTATTGGCTTTAAATATTTTTCAATTTTACAATGTGTTAATGGCTAATTACATGAAAGCTATAGATCATTTATTTACTTTTCTTAATTTCTGTTGCTACCACCCTAGTCTGAGCTACCATCGTTTCCTGCCAGGACTACCATCATAGTCTCTTACCTGGGTTCCCTGTTTTTTTTTTCCTTGTCAGCACTATAGTTTATTTTTCCAGCTTTAGTGATCTTTTGAAAACCAAAATTACACTGTTTTGCTCCTCCGTGTCAAGTCGTTCAGTGATTTTTTTCATCAGAGTTAGAATAAAATCCGCAATTTTACCTTAGGCTTCAAGGTGGCTAGGCCCAGGCCTATCTCTCTGACCATATTCCCCATCACCCCGCAACCTACCTGTCCCATTCCCACTTCACTCCAGTGATACTCTTTGCCTTATCTTCAAGCATTAAGTTCATTCCTCCACTCAGGGGCCTTATATTTGATGTTTTCTCTACCTGGGACACTCTTAATGTTTGCATGGCCATGTTCTTCTTATCCTTTGGGTCTTCGCTCACATGTCTCCTCAGGGGCACCTTCTCTGGCCTCCCAGTATGCCCCTGCCCCTTTTTAATTTTCTTCATTACACCTCTACATATAATGGCAGTATTTATTTATTGTCCCCCTCCTTTCCAGTTACAGTATAGCTCCTTTGAGAACAGGGACACCATCTGTCTCATCTGTCACTGCCATTATATCCACAGCAGCACCTAAATCACTGCCTGGTACAGAGTAGGTGTTCATCAAACACTTGTTGAATGAATGGATCAATCAGTCTGTCTCAGTGTATTGGAAGTTGTTCTTACTAAAAAGTGTCTTCTTCCTTATTTTTCTCCACTAGCCAAAAATATAAGCCATTTTTCCTCACATCTTTATAAATGTTTGTCTGATTACATTCATAGAAAATTGAGAGGAAATTTGGTTCATAAAAATGTATGTACTTTATGGTAAGAATCTCATAGATGTTGCCATTTAGCCATAATATTTTCCTCATTAATATATACTCAATTCTTAGGTAGAAATATTACTCACTTTTTTACCTGGAAAAAAAAATTTGTGATTTTTGCACTCTATAATGTAGGTGTATTTGGGAATTAACTATAATCATGCCATAATATGAAACTTGTTAAAGTGTGGTAGGAAAAAGAAAAAATAGAGAAATTTTTCTAGTGGGTTAAAATTTAATTGGAGGAAAGGGGGGTATAAAATAATGGATTTCATGTATTAGAGATTTAATGGCTTTTTAATAAGTCAACCTTATACTTTATTTATTATTTATTTATTTATTTATTTATTTATTTAAAGTATTATCCCCTAGAAGAAGTGCTCACAGCTGAATATTTACTGGAAGAATTTAGACCTGATTTAATAGAGATGGTTCTCGATAAACTCAGACCAGAAAATGTCCGGTGAGTCATCAACAAATTTTATTGTTACATACTAATTTTTCAATTATGTTCAGAATCTGAAAATTTGAAATTGTGAATAAAATGCTTTAAAACTTTTTATCAAGCATGATTACAAAGTAGAGAGAATAGTGTGATGTATCAATACCAAACTTCAACAGTCAGTACATGGCCAGACTTTGTTATCTGTACTCTCCCCTCTTTACTTATCCTCCCTCCACTCTAAGTATTTTGAGGTAATATCTCTAAAACATGAAGATTTTATCATGAATAAAATATAATAATAGATTGTCTTAACCTGGCTTTACCCTAACTCAGATGCCCAAGGTATCATTTCACCTATCTGGTTTTATAAGCAAGTGAGGACACCATATTTTTTTAAGTTTAAGTAAGAATTACAATCTCAGAATTCTTTTGACCAACCAGTGGTCAACCAGGAGATCAAAAGTTGGAGAAGCTCTTACAGTAACAGAGGTATGACTGTTATAGGAGGGTCAGCCCCAAAGAGATTATGAGCTACCACGTGTGATTTCTGCCTTAAAATTTAATCTCCTCTATATTTTTCTAAAGTCAAATAATAGAAGGAATATACTTGACCAGCACATATTTTGCATTTTTAACTTTTCTACTTTGTCAGGGACATACTTCCAAAATTCTCCTAAGAGCACAGCAATTGAGTAAATTTGCTTTTGACACAATTATTTTATTAATGAAATCAACCATCTGGTAAAACTTTTTGAAGAAAAAAATCCTTGTAACAGAGCTATTCTATCAAAGTCTTTTTTCCTAGTTACCTGTGTTTGAACTTTTCCAGACATATACTAGCAACAAATGATGGGAAAATTAAATTTTAAAAATATGAGCCCTGGCTGGTATGGCTCAGTCGATTGAGTGCTGGCCTGAGAACCAAAGGGTCATCCATTCGATTCCCAGGCAAGGCATATGCCTGGGTTGCAGGCCAGGTTCCCCAGTAGGGGGCGCACGAGAGGCAACCACACATTGATGTTTCTCTCCCTCTTTCTCCCTCCCTTCCTCTCTGTCTAAAAATAAATAAATAAAACTTTAAAAAAATTTTTGAAATAAATAAATTTTTTAAAAATGATATAGAACTATAATATATACATATGTTGTACCAGTACCAGTTTCCTCATTTTGATATTGTACCATAATTAAGAAGATGTAATCATTGAGGGAAACTGGATGAAGTGTGCACAGGACCTCTTTGTACTATTTTTGTACATCCTATAAATCTATAATTATTTCAAAATAAAAATATTTTTAAAATTAAAACATTTATAAGTAGCAACAAAATCATAAAATACTTAGGAATGACTTTAACCAATTAAACAAAATCTCTACACAAAAAACATACAAAACAGTGCCAAAAGAAACTAAAGACCTTGTGCAGAGTTTAGGAGGCTTGATATTGTTAAGATTTCAGTTCTCTCCAATCTGATTCATAGACTCAGTGTAATCACAATCAATCTTAGTAGGTTTTTTTTCCCTTTTAGAAGTTGGTAAGGTGATTCCAGAATTCATGTGGATACATAAAGGACCTAGATTAGCCAAAACACTCTTGCACCAAAAAAAAAAAGAGTTGGAGGTCTGAAACCACTAGATTTAAAGGCTTACTATTCATAAAGCTAAAGTAATTAAGGCATTGTAGTATTGGCGTAACGATAGACAAAGAAATCATTACAATAGAACAGAGAGTCCAGAAGTAAGCCCACAAATATATGGTCAATTAATTTCTTTTTTATTGTTGTAAAAAACATAGAACATAAAATTTACTATCTTAACTGTTTTTAAGTGTATGGCTCAGTAATGATAAATACATTCATATTGTTATGAAACAGATCTCCAGAACTTTTTCATCTTGCAAAACTAAAACTATACCCATTAAACAACTTCTTTTTCCCCTCCTACCATTCCGTGTCACCATTCTACTTTCTGTTTCTATGAATTTGACTACTTAAATACCTATTATAAATGGAATAATATATGTTTTAATTTCACTTAACATAATATTAAAATTTCCTTCCTTTTTAATGCTGCATAATATTCCATTGTATGTATATACCACATTTTCTTTAACCATTCATCATTGGTAAATTTATTTTTTGGCAAAGGCACCAACCTAATTAAATTGGAAAAGGAAAGTCTTTTCAACAAATGGTACTCTTCCATTACCCATCATCCATATGGAAAAAGATGAAATTTGACCTTTTCCTTATACCATTCACAAAAATTAATTTGAAATAGATTATTGACCTAAGTATAAATGCTAAAACTATAAACGTCTAGAAAAAATTAAGGGAAATACCTTTAAAGTTATTTTAAAAACTTTGAGATAGGAAGGATTTTTTAGAACATAAAGGCAGTAACTATTAAAGAAAAAAATTGATAAATTAGACTTAATCAAGATGAAAACTTCTGCTTATGGGGTGACTTATGCATTTGCTTGCATGATTAAAATATATTGAAGAAAAATACTCAGAACACATACTAAATCATTTTAGGCAAGTAAAACAATGTAGCTATACATTCTTTAAAAAGTCAGCCTAAGTCCTCCTGCATTTTATTACAGACCTTCTAAAAACAAAACCTCCTACCAGCACAAGGAGAAAGAGCCTCAAATTTAATCATTGAACTTACTAGACAATTGTTAAGGTTCCTTTTAGTGACTAGTTATGTGTAGTTTTGTTACCTACTAGTCCTTAGATCTTGGGTAGATCACTTTTCTCATCAGCCAGTGTTTATTGAATAACTAATGTGAAACCTCAGAGTTCATCATCCTGCAAAGGGTATATGTGAAAAGTTAACTTTATATAATGTCATGAGCACTGGCTCCCATTTAATTTCCTTGAACTTTGCCCACCTGCAAAATAGCAATAGCACTTTATCTTTCTATTTGATACAAAATGATTTAGCAAAGTTGAAAAGTGTTATACAAATACAAGGTAATGCTGTTAAGATTATATGATAAGGATGTGCTATTTTTGCAAGAAAAAATATTTAAATTATGTTCATATAGCCCTGGTTGATGCGGCTCAGTTGGAGCATCATCCCATACACCAAAAGGTGGGGGGTTCGATCCCCATTTGGGGTGTGTATGGGAAGCAACCATTTGATATTTCTCTTTCTCTCTCCCTTCCTTTCTCTCTAAAATGAATAAATATGTTTTAAAAAATTTTTTTAATTACATTCACATAATTCTTGCTGCCCCATAGCCGGTAATTTGATCCAGCAACACTTTATAGGAGTGAATTTGCAAGAACATACATTTCACTTTTGTTTAAATTACCTGTTTCTAAATTTGCTATCACATGCAAGTAGAGTTGAGAATCTTTCTTTCTCTCTACCCTCACCTTTGGGAGAAAAAATGTTCTTTCTGCGTAGGATTGTTCTCTGTGGCTATTACAGTGGTAACTGCAGCAGGTCAGGGATAGAGTGCGTAACAGCCTGGATGGTAGTGCCAGCCGCAGGCCCAGACTGGCGTTGCTCCAGGGTAAGATTTCTTTCTTTATGGGGTTAAGTCTTCTTATGGGAGCGTAGTGATTCCAACTTTGATAACTAAAAGGCAGCAGGGGCAGAAATGTCACTGATAATCCTCCACAGGGATAGGACTTCCGCTGTTACAGAGCTTCTTTTGCTCCTCTCCTTGTAATCTTTTGTTCACCTACTTCTTGACATCATTTTACCTATAACTTACCTCCCTGAACTTTCTTTTTACTTCTGACTTCTGAGCTGTTTCTATTATCCCATCAAGAAAGCTTTTAATAAACAGAAGGTAGAGAGGGGCTTCTTGGTCTTGTCGCCCTCTCCCTGAGTGGCAGGAAGGCAAATGTACATGTAGTAGACACAGTGGCTAGTAGCCTCCGGCAGGAAAAAACAAACACAGAGCACAGACTTAGCAAGTAATAATAAAAGTGTGTTTTTGCCTTTTTGGATCTCTGGAAGAACCAATGGGTTTATTTAGCCATTTTTGTTAACCCCAGGCCTGAGCTGTTCCTAGGAAGAAGTAGTTTGTTTTATTTTTTAAGGACTATTTTTCAACTGACCTTGTTTTGTGTTTTTTTTCCCCCTAGCTACTACTCTTTTAGTCAACAGCATACCCACAAAAACCTTTCCTACAAGCGCTTTTTCCCACTAAAAATGCTGAGCTATAGCCAAAGGATACAGAGACTGTGACCGGAGACCTGTATATACACATTGCCTAGTTCAGCTAAGCCTTATTGGATTTTCTGGATCTTAAAGACCCAAGACATTCTTGGATATTATTTACATTTTCATGAGTCAGGTTCTATAAATTTACGTAACAACATGAATTTATAGGTTTTTTCTTTTTTTAAAATTAAAAAAAAAATAGTGATTTTAGAGAAAGAGAAATACCAATTTTGTTGTTCCACTTATTGGTTGCTTCTTGTATGTGCCCTGACCTTGATGTATTGGGATGATGCTCTAACCATTTGAGCTACCCAGCCACGGCATATAGGTTTTTTTCTCTTTGTTTTTTCCCCTCTATCTCTAGGGTTGCAATAGTTTCCAAATCTTTTGAAGGAAAAACTGATCGCACAGAAGAATGGTATGGAACTCACTACAAACAAGAAGCTATCCAAGATGAAGTCATTAAGGTATGGTTAACTCACCTGTGAAGAAGTCTTGTTTGTGAAGGACACAACAACATGAGCTCCCTAGATCAACCAACTCACAGCCCACGGTGTGGACAGTAATGGCCCAGCGCTGCCTGTACCATCCTGAGAGGAGTAAACAGGGAGATGGAGAGCTGGATCTTAGGTTTTGCATGAAGAAATGGCACTATGGCCTCCTTCTTATGTGTCTGTCAGACCAGCAGGGCTGTCAGGCAGACTTCCCATCTCATGCAGTCAAAGATCCTTGAAGGCCAGAGTAGACAGAGAAGCCAAGATGCCAAGACGGGCAGGAAGAGATGGGAGTCCAAAGCATGAAAAACAGATATGAGGGCTCCAGAGAGCTCACGATCTTTCTGGGAACACAGGCAGGGAACAGTCTTCACTTGAGGAGGTGCTAAATATTTTGCGCCTCATACTGCATCATTGCTCTTTTTGTTAACATAGAGGAGTTAGGGTTGGTTTTTCAAAACAGGTATGTTTAGGTAGTCGGTGGCCCATTCATCAGTAGTCAAGATTCTGTTTGTGAGTCCTATCTGCTTGTCTAGTACTTTTTCTTTTACAGTTCTCATCAGCTGTGTAGCTTTGAGATTGTGTCCTTTATTCATGGGAAGGCACTTGAAAGCCTTGCTCTGATTAAATTCTAGTTAAACTCAAGTAATGGGCATTTCTTTTTCTTTTTTCTTTTTAGATTTTATTTATTTACTCTTTATTTTAGAGAGAGAGGAAGGGAGGGAGAAAGGGGGAGAGAAACATCAATGTGTGGTTGCCTCTTGCATGCTCCCAACTGGGGAGTTAGCCTGCAACCCAGGCATATACCTTAGACTCAGAATCAAACTGATGACCCTTTGTTTCGCTGGCCAACATTCAGTCCACTGAGCCACACCAGCCAGGGCTCAACTAATGGACATTTCTTAAATGTACCTGTGTAATGACGATACTGAAAAAAGAAAAAACAACTTAAGAAAGAAAATCATTACTGGTACTTCTGATATATTCACAGCACAGAAGGAGCTCGCTGGAGCCCTGTCTTGCTAAACTGTAAGGAAAGCTGATCTCCTGTGAGTTAGTGCTGGGTCTCAACTAATCCTGAAACAAGAGAGAACCACTATTCACCAAATTCTGACCATGACAACTCTGCCCAGCATGGGAATTTTCTAAAAACAAATTTATCTGGGAGCTCAGCAGTGACATTACTTGCAAAGTGTTTACCAGTTCCTACTATGCAGCCATTCAGGAGACTTAAGCTGCTACTTATAAATAATGTGGCCAACATCCCCACTATCTCAGTGCCAAAAGACACAAATGCAAGGACCAAAATAGAATTGCAAAAGCTGCCAGGCTGTACCGCATCATCTGGAGTCCAGATTATTGAACCCAGAATTATTGGCAGTCGGTTGCTTTTTATTTCTTTTTTAAATAAATGAAAAGTCTTATAGAGTTCAGCAGTCAGTGGCCTGTGACCTGTCCCACGTAGCTTTTGGCACTAGCCCATGGGACAGATCTAACCTGCAGGTAGTGTCTGTCCTGTCCCACAATGCGGACTTAAGTCTTAACTTTGTCCTTAACCTTGTGCTTGAATTACTGCTCCACTTGAAAGTTCACGTGGTCACCTGTGAGAAGTGTGGGCCTGGTATTAAGAAGTACTGAAGTGAAAGAAGCCCTGTATAGCCTAGTTTTCAGATCACACAAGCAGGTAACTTAGTGTAGCTGAAATTTTTAACTCTGCTATAAATGACCTATTACCACCCTGGCTGGTATGGCTTAGTTGGTTGGAGCATTGTCCCATAAACCAGGAAGGTCATGGGTTTGATTCCTGGTCAGGGCACATGCATAGGTTGTGGGTTTGGTCTCCGGTCAGGGTGCATCCAAGAGGCAACTGATCAATATTTCTTTCTTGCATTGATGTTTCTCTCTCTTTCTCCCTCCCTTCCCCTCTCTCTAAAATCAATAAGCATGTCCTCAGGTGAGGATAAAAAAATAAATAAATGAATGACTTATTCCCCAGCTGTTACAGGAAGTATTCGTATACAGATTAGTCTTCATTCTTTAAAGAACTGAGGTAAATATGATCTTTATATGGACCAATTAGCCTCTCAATGTTTCACAATCTCAGATTATTCCTTAACCTTATTTGGTCATTTTGGAGATGTGTAAAGAGGAAAGATAGGTAAGTATAAAACCTTGATTAGTACTTGAGACTCCAACTCAGGTTTTATAAAAGGTCATCAAAAGATCTTGGGAGTAGCTTCTTTGTTTATGATGGAAAAGAATACCATGTAACATTTATCCTCTTTTATATTTGCCTGGATATTAAATGAAGTGACTATTTTTAAACTCTTATGTTTTTCATTATCCATCCAGAAATGGCAAAATGCTGACCTGAATGGGAAATTTAAACTTCCAATGAAGAATGAGTTTATTCCTACGAATTTTGAGATTTTACCATTAGAAAAAGAAGCAACATCATACCCTTCTCTTATTAAGGTAACATGTTAGACTTGGTGATTTTAAATTCAGGGGGCAGACCTATTACATGGAAGGGACATAGATGATTTCTTGCATTTGGTACTTTGTTGATTTGGAGGCTTATATCCAAAGAGATGACAGAAAAGTTGCAGAAAGAACAATACAGGAAACATTAAAAAACTCAAAATGTTAAAGCAAACAAACAAAACTACTAAACAGTGTAGAATCTAGGGAATTGTTTTCTCTGCAGCAAAAAAAAATGGTTAAGTCTGGATTGTAACAACAAGTCTATTGAAAGATAGTGGCTTCTTTTTCGTATTCACTGAAGACCCAATAAGGAAGTAGATTTATGTTGCATCAGAAAGTTAGAGATAAGCACCTCTAAAGCCTGGAAGAGAATGCTGTTTCCAAGAGTTGTGTATCCAAGGGGAGCTGTTGGATTTTTCTGCTTTTAAAAACAACTCTCTTTTTGGCAGAGTGGTATACAAAGTTCATGGACCCAAATAGGAAGGGAGAGCGAGCTATGGGTTTTCTTTTTCTTTTTTCAGAATGTTATTTTCATGTTGTTAATTCATACCTTGGGTAAAAATTTATAGAAAAAGGATCAAATTATTCCAGCACATTCTCTTTCCTAAAACTAACATTCTAAACTCAGCATCAACAACACTCATTTTTCTTTCTTTTTATTTTCTTGAAATGACCTAGCATTCAATTAACTCAGTGTGATAAGAAGTAGTGTTTAGGAATATGAAATTTAATTTAATTTATCTGAATCAATTACATTATTAAGACAACCATTTTTCTTTAGAAATGACATTTTCATGAGTTACAGGTTAGGTTATTGAAAGACAAAACTTGTTTATCTCTCAAGTTTTCATTGTTTTTCTTAAATAGGCCTTTTCAGAGTAAACTAATGAGAACATTAAATCACTTATATCTCTCGTCAGAGTTTCAAGTGAACACTTAAGGCTATTTTTAATATAGTATGAGAGAAGTGGAGAGTCAAGGTAGCGGCTTATTTGTTGATCACCAGCTGTGTTACTCATTGCTGGGTAACATACTACTCCAAAATTTATCAGCTTAAAATCACAAATACTTATTCTATCTCACGCAATTTCTGAGGGTCAGGAATCTGGCAGTGGCTTAGTTGGATAGTTCTGGCTCAGGGTCTCTCATGAGGTTATAGTCAAGCTGGTGGCTGCGGCGTCAGCCATTGGAAGGTTCAGCTACAGCTGGAGGATTCACCTCGAGCTGAAGTTCAGTGGCTTCTTGCGGATCTTACTTCTTCACCACATGGGTATCTCCGTAAAGTTGCTTGATGTGGCATCTGGCCTCCCCCAAAGTGAGTGATCCAAGAGGAAAAGTGAGTGATCAACAGGGTAGCCACAGTGTCTTACCTATTCTAATCTCAGAGGTGTCATACCGTTGCTTCTGTCACATTCTGTTGGTCAGACAGACCGACTGCAGTTCAATGTGGAAGGGAGGACAACACAAGGGTGTGGGTTCCCGTAGGCAGGGCCCTGTGGCCCACATTGGAAGCTAGCTGCCACACCCCTCCTAAGGACCCCTGCCTGTGCTTCGTGGGGTCCAGAAAGACAGGGACGTGACAGTTGGTATTGGCTTCTCCAGTGTGACTCTTCCTCCACTGCGTCCCCATCTCGTTAACCCAGGATGCTTTCCCAGAGATAAAAGGGTGCTTTCTCTTTGCTACTGGAATTACAGTCCTTTCTCTTCACTTTCCACCTGCTGACCCTCTGCGTATACTTCAAGGCCAGAGACTGCAGCCTCTCCAGCACTCTTTTCTTGAAGGATGATGAACATTTTTGCAACATGTGCCCATATTTCCATAACCAGTTTTCTTCTCCATTGCAGGATACAGCCATGAGCAAACTCTGGTTCAAACAAGATGACAAGTTTTTCTTGCCGAAGGCTTGCCTCAACTTTGAATTTTTCAGGTAGGTAAGATGAATCAAGCTACAAAGCTTCTTATAAAAATCAACAATTACTTCCTAAAAGTTTTCTTTGGTTCCTTGAGGCATGTCTAAAAATAAAAGGAGTTGGAGTTATTTAGCCTAGACAAGAAAAGCCGTTAAGTCTTATTGTAAGAACCAAGGTTGTTAATTCTTCCCTTTCCATTAAGAAGTACACCCTTTAACTGAAATGATTTCTCTTAGTTATCAGGAGGATGACCTTCCTAACCACCAGGATTTCAGAATCTGTGGAGGCTATCGACTCACCCAGAAGTTTCATTAAAGAAAGAGTAAATAATTTGGGCATTTTTTGTTGTGGTCTAGGTTTTGTATTCCTGGAACTTGCCCTGAAGAAGGTGTGATAGTAGTTACTAACTGATGTGGGGTCTTTTCCAGCCCATTAATGTCCTGGAGCCCTTAGATATTGCCCTCTGTGTTCCTGCTTGGTTAGAAGCACACCCCAGAGATGCTGCGAGTTGGGTTCCAGAGAACCACAACAAAATGACTATCATAATAAAACAAGCCATAATCTTTTTGCTGGTGGAGGGTCTTGCTTTCAGTTTGTAAAAGAACTCAACACCTGTGAAGCGCACAATAAAGCAAGATATGCCTGTACTTTCCCATTTGGTTTCAGAATACCTTTTGAGAGACCATTTGATATTTTTGCATACCTAAACCGCCCTGCGTAGTTCTTAGAATTAAAAATGCCTGTCTCCAACCAGTCCTCTCTGTAGGGGTCTCCCTAGAAGTTTACACTACTAGGTTTCTTGTGCTTTCTTGTGGAAGTTTTTTGTGTATGTATATCCTTTTCATCTTTTCAGAAATAGAATTATATTATGCATACTTATAATTTTTTTAAAAACTCTGTGATCCATATTTAAGCCTATAGCATCTGATTACAAAATCATGTTTTTTAATTGAGAAATGAATCAGAATTTAAGCATTTCAGTTGAATCCTGTGCTCTTTTAAAAGTTGACTGAGGACCCTCTCAACTCGCCAGCATGGCCGCTGCGGATGCAGCATTTTAGGGTGCTTCCTGGAATTGCATGCTGGGCTGGGGCCATAGGGCTTTGAGCTCCCAGGCGGGGCTTGTTCTGGCTTTTCACTTCCACCTAAGAAAGGTGCATAGGTGCCTGCAGGGCTGAGCCCTTCCAGCGACTCTTTGGATGATTTTGCTTTTCTGAGTTGTGCCCTCAGTTTCTGCACTGCTATTTACCTAAAAAAGGAAGTCCGTCGTCATGTATAATGCTTTAAAAAATTCAGTAACGCTGAGATTTTCAGGATGGAGGACATTTGTATAACTGTAGAGTTTTTCCTTTGATTTGTATAACTGTAGAGTTTTTCCTTTGATTCTCTTAGTGGCTAATCATTTTACTCCTATTTTTCCTTATCAGTTTTTGATAAAATTGTTGGCTTTGCTGTCAGTGCATTAGTTGTATTTACGACACTATAGAGAGAGTGAAACTTCGAATTTGCTGCCAAACAAGCCAAGAGGGCACCTGCCTCATGTCCTTTGTACTAGCAGTGTTCTCAGCCTGGAAAGCTCCCCACCCTACGCAGGCACCCCGAGGGCCTGCCCCCTCACGCCTTCCAGGTCTAGGCCTTGTTAACCACCTTCGCAGCCCTGCCCCACAAGCCCCACCATCACGCCGTGCCCCGTCCCTGATTAATTTTCCTCCATAGCACTGTCACCGCCTGGTGCGCATTTACATGTAATATGTGTCTCCTCCAGCTGGATTATAAACTCTGCGGTCAGTGACTTTGCCTGACTTGTTACTTATGTATTCCCAGTAGCTAGAGAAGAGCCTAGCATTATATTTAATTATGCATGTAATAAATATTTGTTGAATGAATGAATCTTTTACTTCTCAAAAAGGTAAGCGGTGTCATATAGTCAAATGCATAGGTCATTTGATTTAAATTTGAATCTTAACTCTGCTGTTACAAGCCCAGGCGACATGAGGAAAATTACGTTTCTTAATTAGGAAATTAAATTTTAAAATAGGTGATCTCTGTGGTCCTATTTAGCTCTTATGCTCTATAATTGTTCTCTTTTGTCGCTCTTTTTCACTTAATTATTTTTCTATTTTAATAATTTTTCCTAGTTCTGGTTGCAGTTATATGGTGGAAATCATTAATTATTTTACTGACAGGGGTCTAGCTTTATTGGTTTGGGGGAAACTCAGAGATAAGTGAACATTTTCACAGGTTTCAATTTTTCTCTCTCAAGTTCATGTAATTGTAGCACACAAATCCCTCAGTCTCATGGTCCTGTCCACCAGGGTATGGCTTGCCTAGAAGGCCAGAGTGGACATGCCAGTGCTGAATCAGGTCTTTCGACCATACCTCCTCCTATTAGCCTGAACGTGGGTATGCATTTTGGCTGGTTCCACTCCTAACTTTTCAGTTCTGTCACATCATCTGGGGTAAGCTCCTTCTCCCTCTTCACCTCCACCAGCACACATGGCATATTTCAGACTTCTTTTTTAGGCATCTGTTTTTCTCATGAGAAGAAGAGACAGACTCAAGAATTCAAACTGTATCTTCGGGAAATTATATGCATTGGTGTTCAGTTTCTTGATCCATCTCGAAAGGCCACATATCACATTGGGAAGTAATAAATCAGCTATTTTACTGTCAACATTTTCTTCCAGCCCATTTGCTTATGTGGACCCCTTGCACTGTAACATGGCCTATTTGTACCTTGAGCTCCTCAAAGACTCACTCAACGAGTATGCATATGCAGCAGAGCTAGCAGGCTTGAGCTATGACCTCCAAAATACCATCTATGGGATGTATGTAAGTACCCATGTCTTAGAGCCTTCCACTCATCAACATTTTTTACATTGATTTGATGGAAGCATTTTTGATTGAGGGTATAAGTTGAATTTCTTTTTTTTCTTTTTATCTTTATGGCTAATCATAACTTTCCTCATCATTTAATTTTTGTTAGCTTTTATTTTAAGTATTCAGCATTCATATTATGCCAATTTTCCTTAATTTCTTTTTTTTAAACATCTTTCATCAAATTATCATATTTTTCTTCTCAACAAAATTGGACACTGATTTAGGTTTAGATCTTACCCATTCTGTATCTGAAGTCTTGGTCTTTGACAACAGAGAATGACATCATGCTGCCATTGTAAAACATAAGGTTGGCTTATACTATTTCCCTAGCAATTCAGATCATGAGGCTGCATATCCATACTCTTCGGTCATGTTTCTTCATTACCATGCCACTGCTTGAGGTATCAAAGCATTTCTTTTGTTTTTCTTTTTGTTAGTCGCTACATTTATGCTGATCCTCTCCATTGCAACATGACATACCTGTTTATCAGGTTATTGAAGGATGATTTAAAAGAGTATACATATGCAGCACGCCTCTCAGGTTTGAGCTATGGCATTGCATCAGGAATGAATGCAATACTTGTAAGTAAAATGAAAACCAAAGAAAAGGCACCACACCGTTTTAAGCTTTATGTTGAGCTTGGGAAAACTATTAACTTCTGCATTTTTAAACAAGAAGATTGATGGTTTTTTCCTTGCACCTTTTTAATGATTGAAGAACTCAAATTGGTATTAGCTGCACTAATGAATGATTAGTAGAGTTTAGTGCATCTTGTGAACATGTATGTGTGCTACATTACATGCATGTTCCTCTGCTTGAAATGCTTAACATAGTAATCCGAAAGCATGTTCTTTTCATGTATTCCAGTCTATTAACACCTGTAAGTGAAAGATGTCCATACTTACTGTTGTGGTGCTTGAATTTTATTGTGTATAAGTTTCCTTTGTTTCTGTTGACAGTAGTAGAAAGTTCCTGTGTTCAGGTACTTGTGACATTTTCATTCAATTTTTTTGTAGCATGCATCATTAATTATTTTTTAGTGTGTTTTAAAATAAGCATTATAACATACACTCTAAGAAATAACTAGATCCTCTCTCTTGCCACTGTTTGTGATGTTTAGAAACTTATATCTCCTTTTCAAATTAACACCCCTTTATGGCACACATTCATTTTCACTTTTCTTAAAAATATATTGTATGTTTTAGCAACAACTAAAATGAGAGCATGTGGCATTTACTTCTCTTTATAAATTCTTATGTGAAAGGCTTTAGGGATTTTAAATTTTACTTATTTTGCAGTGATTTTTTTTTTCTTCACACAAGTAAATTTTCTGGTAGTTTTTATTTAATGTGTAAGAATGATATATAACCTAATCATTCTCAGAATCCAGGGAAATTTGAAGCTCAGAGATCAAAGTACACTTCAAATAGAAAAGCAATAATCCATTGTTTATTTTTCATTGTTGAGTTTTAAAAGCATATCACCATTTATATAAATAACTTATTTGTGACAAAGTGGGCTTTCAGCTAATTGTCAGTCTAGTTTGCACAGTGTGTGATATGCTTTCCATGGCCAAGACTCTTCACTTTTGCTGAGGTTCTTCCCTATCATTTTTCATAAGGCAGAGGCTTTGATAGGTATTCTAGTTGCATTGCATCCTCTGCTGCAGTGGATGCTACCATATGCAAATAGAAGTAAAGGAACTCCTCACTTTTCAAATGTTATGTTTTCAGAGACTATTAAAATGTCCTAGGGCAAAATCCAGTGTATCCTCACTACATACCTGTTTTGCGAATAGCTTTTGGCACATCCACAGAACCCCTTCAATTGCAAGTGGTAAGACGTGGATCCTTATTGGACAACATTGAATGATAAAAGTGGCCAAATAGCCACATAGAAAATTGGGGCTGCCTGATTTCTCCAAATATGTTTTTTAAAATATTTGAATATAAACAATTTGGGGGCATATCCAGTAGTTTGTAGATAACACTTCCCTATGATTTTTTACCTTCTTTCTACCTATGAAAACATTAAGCCAGCCATTCCTTAGAAATTTTTTGAAGATTAAACTTAAAACACATTCTGTAGTAAGTTTTGACTTTACAAGAACTTAAATTTTGATGATGTAGTGTGTGCTGCCACAGTTGGGCATCAGGTGAGTTTTCTACTTTTGATTTTATTTAGGAAAAGCAAGATTATGCTTTTGGGTATTAGTAAATACCAGTGGTTAATGTTATCTAAGTGTAAAACTATTTATGAAAAGTTAATTGAATTTCTTGTTTCACTTTTATTTTAAAGCACTTGGTTTTGGGATTTTCTGAATGCTTACAAATTAAGCTTAAGGTGTTTCATGATATTTTTAGACCTCTGACACCCTGAACTCTTTCTGTAGCTCTCGGTGAAAGGTTACAATGACAAGCAGCCGATTTTGCTAAAGAAGATTATTGAGAAAATGGCTACCTTTGAAATTGATGAAAAAAGATTTGAAATTATCAAAGAGGCAGTAAGTTTTCTGAACTTATTTTTATAATTTGTTGTTTTTTTCTTCATAAGTTAATATGAAGTGATCTTTAAAGGGCCTATAAAAGTAATGAACCCATGTCTCCATTCACTAGTATATGCGATCTCTTAACAATTTCCGAGCTGAACAGCCTCACCAGCACGCCATGTACTACCTCCGCTTGCTGATGACTGAAGTGGCCTGGACTAAAGATGAATTAAAAGAAGCCCTGGATGGTTAGTCTCCTTTTCTATTTATAGCCTGTTTATTTTATTTGGTTCTGATATCTAGTGTTTATGCTTTCTAATAACTTATAGTTCTCTTAAAGCCCAATTTGCGTACTTTTTTATAAAAGAGGTAGTGGCCTTTGGTATTGAGGCAGTTTACCCACATTTGCTCTTATAAACCTGGACCAACAGCAGTTAATTAGTTCTATTCATGGATTTCTGCAGATGATGAAATGTTTTGACCAAAGCACTTATCTTGTTAACATTGTTTTCAGAAAAGGAACCAAGGGCTGGGTTTGAAAGTCTCGTCCCATAGAAAGTGCTCAGGCATCTAGATATGTTTAGTTCAGTTAAAAACTAGGAACTGTGTAAAGACTGAAGTGTCATCTTTTTTTTTTTTTCCCTAAAAGTTTAAATCTAGTTTTCATAGGTTTTGCTTGAAAGTCGTAAAATCCTTGAAGGCAGTGATTATGCCTTCCTTTTATCCTCTTATATAATATCTAGTATAATAATACATCCTCTTTGTGTGTCTAATGAATGCCTATTGAAAGGAATGAAATTGCATATAGGGTTGCTTCATTGGAAAGAGTGTAGGCTGATATGACCCGTTATTGTTTTATCTTTTTCATTTCTCAGCATTACTTTACCAATTAATCTTCTTTCCACATGCTCAGCAATAAGGAAAAAGAATACTGTTGAATCTTCAGTGCTCTTTTATGCTAGGTCCTTACTTGCACTTATTATGTAATGCTATGCTTTTGATGTCTTCAGTGACAAACCAAGAGCACAAAATATTGAAAAATCGTTATTTTATTGGTTGCCTTGGGCATTGGGGTACATGCATAGATTATAAAATTCATGAACTAGAACAGATACATTTTTAATCTTGATAGTTAATATGAGTCACATTCAGTTAATAGCAAGAATTTTACCTTTAAAAAAAATACTGCATAGTTGACTTTAAATACATTTTTCAAGAAAGTGAGCCTGCATGCGGCATGATCAAAAAGCTGAGGTTTTTGGATTCCCCAAACCCTTTTTTTAGTTTCTGGGTCAGATGTTGTGTGAATTTTAAGCAGAATAAACTCTGAAGTGTCTCAGGCATGTGAAACCTTCCTGAAATATATTTTATAAAGAGAAAGTCAGCACTTTTTTAGTTGAAATTCTTTGCTCTAATAAATAATCATTCTGTTTTGTTATATTTATTTATACAGTAATTCAGTAATGCCAAATTGGTTTAATCCGGAGACAGCTCATTGTGAGACGCTGGCTCCCTTATGATTTTAAGCCCGTCAGCCATCCAGGTGCTGGGTAGCTAGAACCTCAGAGTTCAGTGTGGTCCAACAGCATTTATTGACAGCATGCTATGCATCAGGCCATAGACTCTGGTTGCTTGAGATTTAAAAAAAAAAAAAAAAAAAAAAGATCATTTACACGGGGCTTCTTTGGTCTGGGAGCTCCAGCCTAGTGGCAAAGCATGAGTATAAACAGACCACCTCAGTAGAGCAAAGAGTCGGTGTCGTGGTAGAGGTCTGCAGAGAGGGCTGCGGGGCTCTGGGAGTCCAAAGGCCGTGCAGTGCAGAAGAACGAGTATGCACTTCAGAGTTAGACCAAGGATCACATGCCAGCTCTGCAACACATTAGCTTGATTATTTTGGTCAAGGAACTTACATTTTCTAAACTTAAGCGCTCACCTTTAAAATGGGTATAATAGCACACATTTTACAATTTATAAAATCTATTAAGATACTGGCCAATAGTAAGCACTTGTTAATTCCTTTCCCATGTCTCTTTAAATTTTACTAATTTTCTCATCCATTGCAGCAATTATTAGTATGGCGACCTGGTAGAGAAGGGACAACTCTCCCTTATTGAAGAATTAAGTCAATATATGTAAAAGGAACGTGGAGAGTAGAAAACTCACTATTAGGAATCTATAATAGTTGATACAGGCAGCGTACACCAGTAGTTGCTAACATTTGTGGGTAAAGTTAAGGAAAAACAGGCTATTTGTATAGTTTCAAAGTATTTTCCCCCAAATAAATATTTATTAATTACAGTGGGAAAAGTAAGTATTGATGAGCAGATGGCTTTTCCTAATTGCTTGTAGAGCATATGTGACTTACTCAATTATAAACAAAAGAATAAAAGAGTGCACTCACAGTAAAGACGTGGGCAGATGCTGCCCTTCCCGAGCGATCAGTGCTGGCATCACCAGAGCGCTCACCAGTGCGCCAGCCTCCCAGCACCGCGGACCCCAGGTGTGCTGCCTGAGAGAGGCATGCTTCCTCTGCGGTGCTCTTCCTCCGTAAGCTCAATTTAATCATAACAAACCCAAACAAAGAGCATTCTGTAAAGTCCCTGAACAGCAGTCTTCAAAAATCTTAAGGTCATCAAAGATAAGGGAGGACCAAGGAGCTGTCACAGATTGGAGGAAACTAAGGACACGTGACAACTAAATGCAGGGTGGGATTGTGGCTTAGATCCTAGAACAGAAAAGAGATATTCATGGAAAAAATTGAAATCTAAATAGAGTATTGTAGTTAATGGTGTTATACTAATGTTTATTTCTTAGTTTTCATCATTGAACCTATGGTTTTGAAAGATGTTAACATTAGAGAAAACTGGGTGAAGGGTATACAGGAACTCTCTCTACTATTTTTGAACTCTGAATTCTTCTGTAAGTCTCCAGTTGTCTCAAAGCTTTTTTTTTTTTTTAAACAAAACCTCGTAAGTAGAGCTGTCTCTTTCTTATACCTTTACAGATGTCACCCTTCCTCGCCTTAAGGCCTTCATACCTCAGCTCCTATCACGGCTGCACATTGAAGCCCTTCTACATGGAAACATAACTAAGCAGGTGGGTGGTTGACGTGTTCGCAGTCTTTTCTGAATCACTGCAAGAGTTTTTTGACCCTGGTCTGTCTAAGACGCTTCACCACCACAGTGGGGTTGTAGGCCCATCAAGGCTCACTGAACCTTCTCTGCTCTCTAGAGGAAGAAAGGAGGGGGCGTGGGGGAGCAGCATGAACGTGGGTAACTGTGGACCTACTGTCATGGCTGCCGCTCCTGCTGCCACCTGCCTTGTGTAGCCACAGAAGGAAGTGGGAAAAATTATCCCTACTCTGTGCAGGACAGCAGGACTGTGTAGTGGATAAGAGCACGTGGCGTGGAATCAGGCAGCCTGGATTTAAGTCCTAATTGTGCCACACACACTGTATATGTGAGCTTCTGAAAAGGTCTTAACTTCCCTGTGCTCAGTTTTCCTATTTATAAAATTAGAGTTATTAGGATTAAATTAAATCATAAAGGCCAAGTGCCCAGTGCATGGATAGCACTCTGGAATTCCCGTGTCAGTCTGTCTCAAGAACCGCGCTCTCTACTGCCCCACTGGACTGCCTCCAAAACACTACGCCCAATGGCAGAGAGAGGGTTCTCAGCAAGCCAGTTTCAGTCAGAATGAAGCCTTATGCTCACCTCCTTTGCTCCGCTGTAACCCCAGCTTCCATTCACTTGCCTCTCCAGCCTCAGCGGTGCCTGTTCCCAGCATCGAGGTGGTCTGGGTCTTTCTTTTTCTTCACTACCGTCATAATGACTAATGCAAATTGACAAATTTAATTTTTATCCATTTCAAGAGGATCAAATGTATTTAACTAAGATTTAAGATTTATTTCACAGACATGTAGTTTTTACATTGCATGGGCTACCATTTAATATATTGTTTTTTTATTTTCACGGACAAGATACATTTGTGTTCTCGTAGTGTACTGTGACCTGTCTTTTTCCACAGGCTGCATTAGGTATCATGCAGATGGTTGAAGACACTCTCATTGAACATGCTCACACGAAACCTCTCCTTCCGAGTCAGCTGGTTCGGTATAGAGAAGTTCAGCTCCCTGACAGTAAGTTGAAATGTTATAATTTGGTAATGCACAACTTTGACATAGTATTGTGGGTGATTATAGGTAGATCGAATTCACTTGGATGACAATGTATTGATCTACAGTACAGAACTATGGGATCCTCTACTGTTTATAGAAGTATGGTTAGAGACAGATAATTCTTCTAGGAAGTTTTCAGTAGGTAGGCCAAAGAGGTGAAATTGGAGGTAGGCAATTATTTTGAAGAGAATTATTCCAGAATTGAATATAGAGGAGTTAGGAAGTAAAAATATCACAAAGCTAAAGAAATATTGATTCTGAATCATGAAAAAAAATGTATAAAAAATGAAAACTAGAATTACAGTATCTAATTGCAAGTGTCTTTGGCAGAAATAGTTTTAGGAACGACACAGGTGAACATAACATATTTATTACATGCATGTTTTATGAGGAATTTTAATGTAAAAAACAGTGTATTGGAGTTAGCAATGTTGGATTACTTTTACATTAGTAATGGTTTCTCTTGATATAAAACTCATTAAGCATTATTTTCAATATTGTTCAAAATTGTCTAGTGGGAAGTTTATTAGACCAGGAGTGAGAAGCACTAATTTTTTTTTTTTAGCCAGACTCAATTGTTTGCCATACATGTCTGGTCTGTGCTTTTTTTCTCAGCTCTTTTATCCTCCTGAAATATTGCTCCCTCCCACCCCCAACCCTGCTTTTCCCCATGGACCTATGTATACATATATTCATCCTTCCAAGCCCATGTTATAAGCCCCCTATTCCACTACGCTTTTTCTAAAACTCCCAGCTAGAAGTAATCACTTTGTCTTCTGACCTCGCAACAGAGGTTTTCTGGACCTTTCCTTATTAGAGCTACTCAGCACTTCTTCTCTTGCATTGGGATTGAAATGCATCTCCGTATCCCTTGTTAGTTTATACAGTTCTTAAAACCAGGGTCTGTGCCTGGCTTATTTGAGTAGCTACTACAGCGCCTCAAACAGACCATTACCTGAGGACATCATTGTTGGATGTGCAAGGGTACCTTGAGCACAGCTTTGTTGTTCTGTATCACCCGTCACCACAGACCTGGTAATGGTTCATTTCAGACTAGCGCTAGTTTGTTCCTCTGTCGCTGCAGTGTGACCGAGAGGAAGAATTAGGATTGGCCATTCAAAATCCACAGCACTTGTCCCTGATTGATGTGGCTCAGTTGGTTGGAGCATGGTCCCATAACCAAAAGGCTGAGGTAGTTTGATTCCCAGTCCAGGCACATGCCTGGGTCGCAGATTTGATCCCTGGTGGGGCACAGACGATCCCCAGTCTGGGCACGTACAGGAGGCAACCGGTCAATGTTTCTTCCACACGTCAGTGTTTCTCTCTCTCCCTTCCTCTCTAAAAGCAATGAAGAAATGTCCTTGGGTGAGGATGAAAAAAACCAAACACACCATAGCACTTGGTCATCAGGCAAAGTGATGCCAGTCTAAAAACAAAATTTCAAAGTGAAATCTTTCATAACTCTACTACATTTCCCGCCTTCTCTCCCCTCTCCTACGACCCCTCTCTCTTTTGTCTCTCAAATTCCCTTGCAGATTTCCCCACGCCCAAAAGTAACTCAGTTCACATCCCATTTTCAAAATACTAAGTGTTAAAAAATATTCTAATAAATTAATTGCAGGTTGGAATTGCCGAAAAACACCAATCAAATTGAACAACTTTTAAAAGTCAAACGAAACATTAACTTTATTAAACTCTAAATAATTGTTTGAATGTGCTACTCTCTTTTTGAAACTTTTTAGGAGGATGGTTTGTTTATCAGCAGAGGAATGAAGTTCACAATAACTGTGGCATCGAGATATACTACCAAACAGACATGCAGAGCACCTCGGAGAATATGTTTCTGGAGCTCTTCTGTCAGATCATCTCCGAGCCTTGCTTCAACACCCTGCGCACCAAGGAGCAGCTGGGTGAGAGGGAAGTGGGGGATAGCAGGTACCATAGACCTTGAGGAACAACCACTGTCCTTAGAGGACATACTCCACATGTAAGGTCCCCTAGCATGTTGCCTCAGGCATGCTCTATACAGAAAGACTTGTGAAAACCTTGTTTGTGGGGAATCCACTTGTAAAAGACAAGCAGTTATTATCTTATGGACATGAAAGCAGTTCTTAAGGAGATGACACTGTGTTTACATTACATGCATGTCAATAAAGAGGGCATTTTGGGTAGAGGTGAGAAGATGCTAAGGGCAGGCTGTTATGGGTGGCAAGGTGGAAAGCAAGTCATCCAGAGAAGCCTAGACTCAGTAAACTTGGGGTTCCCTGAGCGTGCAGATATTTTCTCTTATTCATCTTTGTATCCCAAGCTTGAGGCACGTAGGATGTGCTCAGTCAGTGTTTGTTGAGATGTTTCAGGCAGGGTTTTAGTCACTATTAAAAGTCTTGGAGATCCTAGGGTTTTGTCAAATGAGGAAAAGAAGGAGGAGGAGGAGGAGGAGGTCCAGTAATGACTGGGAAGAACCAGTGAAAAAGGATTTGGGTGAGTCTCTCCAAGCACCAGTCTGTTTTTAAACAACCACCTTCATAGATGCTAGACCATGAAAATAGATATTTTGGCTGGTCCTTCCCTTCAAGGATCTCACAATCTAATCAGGAGAGCAGATCTGTAAAGGGATAATTACAATTATAGTATAGAGTGATTTAAACTTTACAGGCTGCACTGAAGAGAGTTTCTTTCTCAGAAGTGGGACCCAGAGGCACCGCCTCTGTCAGAGGTGCGATGCGGGCAGAGCAGCTAAAGGAGGCAGGCCACAGCTTGACTTAGAAAAGATGTTACGTTCATACGATGTCAGTGGAAATAAGACCTTCAATTACTTGTGCTCTAGAGATTTATAGTCAGCATAGAGTTGGTCCAGGAATGGGTTACCCAACAGGAAATGCAATGGTAGAGGCAAGTCCACATGAGGAACTTGGATGTGAAAGGAAGCAGTGCTAGGACCACGTTAGGGGATGAAAACGTGTCCAGCATTTCTCAGGGATGGGAATAACTCTACCATAGATGGAAGGGGATTAGCTAGCAGATAATTAGGAGTTATGGGATGTTGAATTTGAATGATGAATAGAGGGATTTTTTTGGTTTTGGTTTTGGGTGTTTTTTTTAAAAGAAAAATTTGTCTCCACTTTCTGACTATTCTTTAAAGAGCTTCTTTGTTCTGTCCTTGGGACCTGAGGATATCCTAATTGCTCATATTTCCTCAGAGGTTAATATCATAAAACCCTAAAGTAGATTTTATTTCCTCTGACAGGATAATTTTTGAAAGATTAAAAGTGACCCGAGTCTCAAATGCCGAGGTCCTGACGGGCTGGCGTTTATGTTTCAGGCTATATCGTCTTCAGCGGTCCTCGTCGAGCCAACGGCATACAGGGCTTACGGTTCATCATCCAGTCGGAAAAGCCTCCTCACTACCTAGAAAGCAGAGTGGAGGCCTTTTTAATCACCATGGAAAAGTCCATAGAGGACATGACAGAAGAGGCCTTCCAAAAACACATTCAAGCACTAGCAATTCGTCGACTAGACAAACCAAAGAAACTGTCTGCCGAGTGTGCTAAATATTGGGGGGAAATCATCTCCCAGCAATACAATTTTGACAGAGGTAAGGCAAAATTAGAATCCCAACATTCATGGCACATAAGTGTAACATTTAAGGACATTGAGGCTTTTCTACAAAATGGTGTTCATTTTTTAGGTGATGGTCTAGTGCTGATTTGGGGGTGGGGGGGGCACAACACTTCTCAGGATGCATTATTTAACATGAATATTTCCTATTAGAAACTCTGTCTTTTTTTTCTTCTCTAGAACTAGAGCTGGACCTACCTGTATCTCATAATAATGCACTAATAATAAATCATATTTCACTTTTTGTGTTCAATCACTGTGCCCCCAAAGCTCTGAGCCTAGACATGTAGGTATCTATTTCCTGTAACACTAAAAAAAATGAAAAATTTGCAGGTTGAACTCTCTTGACACCAGCGCTACCGTGGAGGGACAGGAGTTCAAACATATGCCTTTAGGGCTCTCCAAAAATTTGTCAGTGCTCTTCAATTTGGAAGCGCTCTGCGCCCCAAAGCCTCCTGCTTGTCTGCTTCCTTTCACCTTTCTTCTAGAGAAGAGATTAACAGGGCTGTGCTAAGTGACACTAGAAGTCAGAGTTGGAGTGTTTTCTCATTCTGACACCCATAAACTGAAGGTCTTGGCCAACTCACCTTTTCTGGGCCTCTAGTTCCTTTCCTGTAATTTTTCTAGCAATTGTATTCATTATTAATATAGTACATACCACTTACTCAGCATTTGCCATTTGTCCTGGCTATGTGTTATTGTTATTTATCATTTTAATGAGTTCTCACTACAGCCACATGAAGTGGTTATTATCCCCAGTCTGCAGATGAGGAAACCGAGGCTCAAAAACGTAGAAGTGCCTAGCCCAAGATCCAACAGCTCATTTGTAGAGAGTCAGGATATCCTCTTAACTTTTTATTTGTAATTTATTCCCTCACTACTTGTAGGAGTAGATTGTCACTTAAAAATATGAATACCTAGGAGTGTTGAAGTGATGTATATTGTCATTTAGTGTAGTATTCTGGGGTGCTTAAAATGGGAATATTAATAAATTACTATATGATTACTTTTTCAGATAATACAGAAGTTGCATATTTAAAGACGCTTACCAAGGAAGATATCATCAAATTCTATAAGGTAAATTCAATTCATATATTTAGATTTTGACTGATAAGGAAATATTGTATGTGCTGTGTTGTGTGTTGGTTGCTGCTTTGAACCCATTCAGGCAGGATTTATGAAGGCGTTTTTATCGATGTGAGTATTTTTGACACATATTACTATTAGAAAAAAGAGACAATTCATACTGAACCCAGCACCATTTGCATCTCTCCCTGGACCCAGGACTGGGATGACTCTTCCTGGCTTCTAGATCCATCTCTTTAGGCTTCCCTTTGGTCCCTTCTCTCTGTTCCCCACCCTAGCCCATGAAGAACGTTGCTCATTTTGTTTGGTGGGAAGGAAGATCAATGAAAACAAATAGAACTTGAGAATTAGATTATTTTCCAATCTCAGACGATTATAAATTGTCTTCACGCATTTAGGTGCCACTGCGGCTGTTCCTTTACATAAATGACTGCTCACCTCTGAATTGTGCTCAGGGATCTTACTATGTTTGAATGCCTGTGCTCAGAGAAAGCTTGTCAGGAGGAAAGAGAGGTGTCACCATTATTAAAATTTTCCCAGTACAGCTTTAAGAGGTTATTAGCACATCTAAATTTTCCCCACCTGTAACGAAATTTTAAGGAGGGTAGCAAAAATTTTCTTTTTCTCTTTTTTTCCTTCTTCTCCCCCCTCTCCCTCCTTCAATCCTTCCCCACTTTGGTTTTGTCCATGAGTGCTTGCTATATGTTCCTTGACTTGCCCCTTCCCTTTCTTTTCCCCCCACCTACCCCTCCCGCCTTCCCTCTTGTCTCTGTTGGTTTCTTTTCCTTTCAGTGTTGCTGATCTTATTTTCCTTTCATCTTTGTTTTGTTGGTTAGGTTCTGCTTATAGGTGAGATCATATGGTATTTGTCTTCCACCCTCTGGCTTATTTCGCTTAACATAATGCTCTCTAGTTTCATCCATGCTGTCGCGAAGTTCAGTGGTTCTTTTTTTCTTTCTGCTGTGTAGTAGTCCATTGTGTAAGTGTACCATAATTTTTTGATCCAATCATCTACTGGTGAGCATTTAGGTTGCTTCCAACACTTAGCTATTGTAAATTGTGCTGCTATGAACATTGGGGTGCATAGGTTCTTTTGAATTGGCATTTTGGGATTCTTAGGGTATAGTCCCAGCAGGGGAATCACTGGATCAAAAGGCAGTTCCATTTTGAGCGTTTTGAAGAAATTCCACACTGCTTTCCACAATGGCTGCATCAGTCTGCATTCCCACCAACAGTGTACTGTGTTTCCTTGTCTCCACAGCCTCGCCAGCATCTGTTGTTTGTTGATCTGTTTATGATGGCCATTCTGACCGGTGTGAGGTGGTACCTCATTGTGGTTTTGATGCGCATTTCTCTGATGGCTAGTGATGCTGAGCATCCTTTCAAATGTCTCTTGGCCCTCTATCTCTTCCTTGGAAAAGCATCTGTCCAGTTTCTTTGCCCATTTTTTGATTGGATCGTTTGTCTTCTTGGAGTGGAGTTGAGTGAGTTCTTTATATATCTTGGAGATCAAACTTCTATCTGATGTATCATTAGCAAATATATTTTTCTATAGGGTTGGCTCCCTTTTCATTTTGCTAATGTTTTCTTTAGCCGTGCAGAAGCTTCTCATTTTGATGAGGTCCCACTTGTTTATTCTTTCCTTTATGTCCCTTGCTTTAGGAAACACATCGGTGAAAAAATTGCTGCGTGGGGTATCTGAGAGTTTCCTGCCAACGTTCTCCTCTAGGACTTTTATGGTGTTGCGACTTATTTTTAAGTTTTTTATCCATTTTGAGTTTATTTTTGTGTATGGTGTCAGCTGATGATCCAATTTCAATTTTTTGCATGTAACTGTCCAGCTCTCCCAACAGCATTTGTTGAAGAGGCTATTATTACTCCATTTCATGCTTCTGCCCCTTTGTCAAATATTAGTTGCCCATATAGGCCATATGGGCTTATTTCTGGGCTTTCTATTCTGTTCCACTGGTCTATGGGTCTGTTCTTGTACCAGTACCAGATTGTTTTGAGTATAGTGGCTTTGTAATATAGTTTCATGTCTGGTATTGTGATCCCTCCTACTTTGTTTTTCTTTCTCAAAATTGCTGCGGCTATTCAGGGTTGTTTATGGTTCCATATAAATTTTTGAAATGTCTGTTCTATTTCTGTGAAATACGTCATTGGTATCTTAATAGGGATTGCGTTGAATCTATAAATTGCTTTGGGTAGTATGGACATTTTGATGATATTAATTCTTCCAATCCATGAGCATGGTATATGCTTCCATTTTTTTATGTCTTCCTTAATTTCTTTCTTCAATGTTGTATAGTTTTCTGCATGCAAGTCTTTTACCTCCTTGGTTAAATTTATTCCTAGGTACTTTATTTTTCTTGTTGCTATATCGAATGGTATTTTTTTTCTGATTTCTTCTTCTTCTATTTCATTGCTGGTGTACAAAAATGCCTTCGATTTCTGAATATTGACTTTGTATCCTGCTGTTTTGCCAAATTCACTTACTAGGTTGAGTAGTTTTTTGGTGGAGTCCACAGGGTTTTCTATGTATACTATCATGTCATCGGCAAACAATGACAGTTTTACTTCCTCCTTTCCTATTTGAATGCCTTTTATTTCTTCTTCTTGTCTGACTGCTGTGGCTAGGACTTCCAATACGATGTTGAAAAGAAGTGGTGAAAGTGGACATCCTTGTCGTGTTTCCAATCTTAGTGGGAAAGCTTTTAGTTTTTGCCCATTGAGTATGATGTTGGCTGTAGGTTTTTCATATATGCCTTTATTACGTTGAGGAATGCCCCATTTATTCCCATTTTTCTGAGTGTTTTGATCATAAATGGGTGCTGTACCTTTTTGAATGCTTTTTCTGCATCTATCGAGATGATCATGTGGTTTTTGTCTTTTATTTATATGATGTATTACGTTTATTGACTTGCGTATATTGAACCATCCCTGCATCCCTGCGATGAATCCCACTTGATCGTGGTGGATAATCTTTCGAATGTATTGCTGGATGCGGTTTGCCAATATTTTGTTGAAGATTTTAGCATCTATGTTTATCAGTGAAATTGGCATGTAGTTTTCTTTCTTTGTAGGGTCTTTATCTGGTTTTGGGATTAGGGTGATGCTGACCTCATAAAAAGAGTCTGGGAGTCTTCCCTCCTCTTGGATTTTTTGGAATAGTCTGAGAAGGACAGGGGTTAGCTCTTCCTTAAATGTTTTGTAAAATTCTCCTGTGAAACCGTCCGGCCCTGGGCTTTTGTGTGCCGGGAGTTTCTTGATTACTGCTTCAATTTCCCCAACTGTTATCGGTCTGTTCAAGCTTTCTGTTTCTTCCTCCTTCGGTGTTGGAAGATTATACTTTTCTAGAAATTTGTCCATTCTATAGAGGTTTTCAAATCTTGGCATATAATTGTTCATAGTAGTTTCTTACAATCCTTTGTATTTCTGTGGTATCAGTTGTTATTTCTCCTCTTTCATTTCTGATATTATTTATTTGGGTCCTCTCCCTTTTTTTCTTGATGAGTCTGCTTAAAGGCTTGTCGACTTTATTTACCTTTTCAAAGAACCAGCTCCTGGATTGGTTGATCCTTTGAATTGTTCTTTTCATCTCTATGTCATTCAGTTCTGCTCTAATCTTGACTATTTCCTTCCTACTACTTGCTCTGGGATTTATTTGTTGTTGTTTCTCCAGTTCTTGAAGTTGTAGTGTTAGGTCTTTTATTTGAAATGTTTCTATCTTTTTTAGGTAAGCCTGTATTGCTATGAACTTCCCTCTCAGGACTGCCTTTGCTGTGTCCCATAGGTTTTAGACTGTTGTCTGTTCATTTTCATTTGTTTCCAGAAATGTTTTGATTTCTTCTCATATCTCATTATTGACCCATTCATTGTTTAATAGTCTACTGCTCAGTCTCCATGAGTTTGCAAGTTTTTGAAGTTTCTCTTTGAGGTTGATTTCCAGCTTCAAGCCCTTGTGGTCTGAGAAAAAGCTTGGTATTATTTCAATTTTCCTGAATTTGCTGAGGCTTTGTTTGTGTCCTATCAAGTGGTCTATCTTTGAAAAAGTTCCATGCGCATTTGAAAAGTATGTGTGTTTTGCTTCTTTGGGATGTAAGGTTCTATATATGTCAGTTAAGTCCATTTGATTCAGTGCGTCATTCAGCTCCACAATATCCTTATTGATGTTTTGTTTTGAAGATCTTTCCATTTTTGACAATGGGGTGTTGTCAAACACCCTACTATCAGTGTGTTGCTGTCTATATCTTTTTTGAAGTTGTCCAAGATTTTCCTTATATACTTGGGTGCTCCTATGGTGGGAGCATATAAGTTTACAATGTTTATGTCTTCTTGACAGATTCTTCCTTTAAGTATTATAAAGTGTCCCTCTGGGTCTCTTTTTATGGCCTTTGTTTTGAAAGCTATTTTATCTCATGTAAGTATTGCTATCCCTGCTTTCTTCTCTTGCCCATTTGCCTGGAATATTTTTTCCATACCTTTACTTTCAATCTGTGTAGGTCTTTTGTTCTGAGGTGGGTCTCTTGTAGGCAGTATATGTGTGGGTCATGTTTTCTTATCCATTCAGCTACCCTGTGTCTTTTGATTGGGGCATTTAGTCCATTTACATTGAGAGTTATTACTAATAGAAACCTATTCATTTCTTCTCTTTGTACCTGTGGTTTTCTTTTTCTTACTCTTTTTCTGCATCTTCTTAAACCAGTCCCCTTAGCATATCTTGTAGTGCTGGTTTGGTAGAGATGCATTCTTTTAGCCTTCCTTTGTCTGGGAAACTCCTTATTTCCCCTTCTGTTTTAATTGAGAGCCTTACTGGGTAGAGCAACCTTGGCTGTAGGCCCTTGCTTTTCATGGCTTGGAATCTTTGTTGCCATTCCCTTCTGGCTGGTAGTGTTTTTGTTGAGAAGTCAGCTCCTAGCCATATCAGGGCTCCCTTGTATGTTACTCCCTGTTTCTCCCTTGCTGCATTGAGGATTCTCTCTTTGTCTTTGATATTTGCCATTTTAATGATGATGTGTCTTGGAGTGGGCCTCCTTGGGTCCCTCTTGAATGGGGAAAATTATAAGGAGGGTAGCAAAAATTTTCTTAAGTAGGTATATAATGTGTGATAAGCATGCTACATGCAGAAATTAAAAGTTTTTACTACAGTAGAATTGTACTATGAGAGAGAGAGAGAGAGAGAGAGAGAGAGAGAGAGAGAGAGAGAGAGAGAGAGAGGTATTTTGTAATATAATAGGACCTCTGAATAAAGTACTTTTATGTCTACTTGGAAGGATAGAGAGCAAAGTTACAGTCTGTAATTACCATAGTACCATAGAACAGTATCCCAGCTAGGGTTCTAGTCACTTCTCCTGGTTCATACCTGATTTATTAGGTACTAATTGTTTGGTCAGGAACTCAGTCTCACCCTATGCTAACGTCTCTTGGGGAGAGAAATCATCTACTTCATTAATTTTCAGGGATACATTGTAACAATACAATACAACAATACAAGAGTCAATACATGCAGTTCTCATTAAAATGATTTTGTGAAATTGCTTATACAGTGAAGGCTAATCACATTTTTCTCCTATATTGGCGTTTCCAAAACCTATTTGCTCACCAGTGTTGGTGCTGGGTGGGAGGGTGAGGAGAAGGAAATATCCCAACCGCAAGGTGCTCTTTCCTAGAGGAAAATGGTGACCTTACCCTGTCTGCCAGTCATTTACACTTATTCCCCCAAACCTCCTGCGAAACTCTAAGGCCACTGTCCTTTGTATGTGCAAACAAATATCAATATGACCAGTAACGCCTAAGCAATATGAAAAGTAAGATGATACAATTTTAGTTTCAAAATTTGACAGTGAAAGCCAGTATTTTGAATGCATCTTTTTGTAACAATGAGATAGAAGCTTGTCAGCCATGGACGTGCCGGAGCAAGTTATTTTCTTTACTTCACAATTCCCCTTGCATTGTGTAAAGGATGATAAGAGTCATCTAGACTGCTCTTGGTCTTTTGCTGTAATAGTCTTTAAAATATTAGTACATTTTGATACGAGGCAGGCGATATGTGTATGTAGGCGCGACGGATGTATGGGAAATCTCTTCCACTCGGTTTTGCTGTGAACCTGAACCTGCTTTTACAAATAAAATTATTAAAATAGAAACGGATATGTAAAAGTTTATGCATATTCTGTTAATTAAAATATATGACACAGAATTTTGATCTGAAATACAATCCCAGGCGAGCTTTGTGTAGATGGAGAGAGAGCCGCACGGTGGGGGCGGGGGGCGGGGCAGAGCTGGGGGTGGGGACACAGCACACGCCGCTGCTTTTCACTGGCCTGGGGCGCCCCGAAGGGAGCGGCCGGCCTCGCGTGGTGCTCTCCGCTCCTCTAGCGGCCCTTTCAGCCGTGGGAGTAGCAGCAGGAGCGCATGTGGCCTCCGAACACAGACCCAGGGCTCAGCGCCATCACCAGCCAGCTGGCTCTGTGACCTTGGCCAAGTCGCTTAAGCATCTAAGCCTCGGTTTCTCTATTTACAAAACAGGAAATCTTTGGAATATTGATTGAAACAAGGTGTTTAAAGTGATTGGCACTTACTGCTGTTTAATAAAGAGTCTCTGTTATTGTTCTCTTTGTTAGTAATACTCAGTCCTAGGGTTTTTAAATGTTCTAAGTAGTGTTTTAAATCAGAATACATTTTCTTCCTGCTGTGTTACAGGTTTTAATGGTGTTTATCTACTACTTTAGACTGTTAAGCTCTGAGGTTAGGTCTGTTCTCAGTTGCCTACAAAAGAAGGTGATCGTGCTCAGCCCTTTTTGGTTTCTAAGACATTTATTATGTGTTCATGGAAGCAGCTAAGGGGAATCCCTCAATCAAAGTAACGTGGTGGGACGGAGCGAGCAAGCCGGCCTCACTTCCAATACCGCCCCCTACAAGCTGTGTGCTGCCAGCAGGTCATCACACCTCTTCGTGTTTTGGAGTTTGTGTCTCTAAAACAGGAGTCATCACAATGCTTAGCTTACAGAGACCCAAGTGAGCTAACATAGGGAAGCACTTGACACAAGGCAGGTTTCAGTAAATATTAGTGTCCTCCTCTTTTGGTAGATGAGGAACCACCGCAGTGACCTGAGGCAGAATCTGAGAAGGTTCTTAGAGGAGTAGGCTTTGTGGTCATCCCTTGGCTGAGTCTCAGCACCGCACCCCAAAGAGTACCAGGCTTGGTTTGTAATCCCAGCCTGGCTACTTACTGAGCACGTCACTTAATCTTCTTGGGCTCATTCTTCTTATTAGTAAAATGGGGTTAAGAGTAATTCTTGCTTAATCTTCGTAGAGTTTAAATGAAATACTGTAAGTGCTGGAAAAGGAAAGGAAGCACCTTTTCTGTTTCTGGTGAGGGTCTGATTCTTCACAGTTGAAAGAGAGCCCCTTTTTGTTCCTTAGTGGGGCAAAAGTGTGACTTTGCCATTTTTTCTGCCTAGGAAATGTTGGCAGTAGATGCCCCAAGGAGACATAAGGTGTCCGTCCATGTTCTTGCCAGAGAAATGGATTCTTGTGAGTATTGAATGTGGCCTTTTTAAAAAATATGTATTTTTAGACACATGATAGCTGTCCCTTGCCATAGCCACATCCTTTATGGAGCACCAGGAAGTAAGAAAGCACAGAAGGGGAACCAGCTGGAGATGGGTCCGCTCTAGCAAAGCACAAATAAAGGAGAGGGCAACGAGGCAGGAAAGGAGAGCGCCAACACCAGATGGCACAATGCTGGGCTGGCCGCAGCGCTGTGAGGAAACACAGCAGGTTGCTAGAGGACATCTCCAGAGAAGCAGCGTGGAATGCTGGGTGTGGGGAGGAAGGGCAAGGAGTTTATCCGCTCGGTCCCTCCTGTCTCCTGTCTCCTGTCTCCACCTGGCCAAGGTTTGCCCCGGAACCATTCATTCCGTGGCCTCTGGGTTGTTGTGGTGGCCAGAGCTTCGGGATCCAGTGAGGTCAGACCTGGGCACTGAAATTGCTGCTGCCAAGGCTTTATTGACCATGGTAACAGCGTGAGCCATCACTGGCGACACTCCAGGTAGGAGGCAGGACAGGCCGCAGGGCCGTGGGGAACAGGCATCCTGAGAGGATATGGGAAGCACGTGAACCGGGTCTGATACTGTTTTTAATGAGTTGAGTCTGGTTTCAATATTTTTTTTGAAAGTTACTCTTGTGTGCTAATATCGATAAATGCAAAGCGTTAACTCCTTCATTTTCTTATAGGTCCTGTGGTCGGAGAGTTCCCCTGTCAAAATGATATAAATTTGTCACAAGCGCCACCCTTGCCACAAGTAAGAAATGTAAATGTTATGTTAGATTGCTCTGTTAGAGGGCTTACTAGTTAGAAGGAGCCTGTCATCCGGACACGTAAGACCTAGAAGCTTCGGGTCACCAGGTATTTGAGCCTCTGCTGAAGGTCGCCCTACAAGCCTGGTCCCCGTTCTTTTGACAGCTCCCAGGGGGCAGATCTTCCTTTTCAGCTGCACAGACACTGAGCCCTGCCCTCGCCTGCCTTTGTCTCTGGCTTGAACAGTGTGTTACTCTGCCATGAGGCCTCTCCAGCCACTTCTGTCCCCAGCCCCTTCCATGCTGCCTGCATATTTGAATCATCTGGAGAAGCTGGCATTTACCTGCAGGAGGAGGAAAACCGGCCCTGTAATCAGGCTGGGGGGGCACATGCACGTGGGCACTCTGCCGGGGCCTCGGCGCCAAGCAAGCCCCTCGTGTGCAGCCCTGTGCACCCGGGAGAGAGCCGAGAGTCTTCCCCGGGCCACAGTCCCTCGGGGACCCTGCCATAGTTTTGTGTAGACCCTCTGGCCCTGCTGATTCAGGAGGAGAGGTCAGCAGGTCGTAATATATGGGGTAGAAACCGGTGTGCGTGCAAAACAAAAAAAGAAAAATGTCTCTGTCCTATTCAGTTCTGCTTTTTAGGCTAAATATACTAAGAGGAAACTTTTTCTTTGCAGCCTGAAGTGATTCAGAACATGACCGAGTTCAAGCGTGGTTTGCCACTGTTTCCCCTCGTGAAGCCACATATTAACTTCATGGCTGCCAAGCTCTGAGGACCCCCCGCGGGCGGTGACAAGCGAGTGGACGCGTTCCCGAGTCTCCCAGGGGCTCGGAAACCGGCTTGGCCACTTTACTAGTTTCTGGTTCCCTGTTAGAGACACAAACAGAAAAAGAGATGTCAGATGTCATTATGTAGAAATATTAAAAATCCAAAGTAATTAAATTACAAAATCTTATAGATGTAGAATATTTTTAAAATACATGCCTCTTAAATATTTTAAAAAAGTTTTTCATTACTAAGACAAATTTCCCTTATATAACAATACTTAAAATGATGAATGGTATTCCTATAGAATCTTCCTTCCCTACTCTGTAAAATAGTTACTTGTTAGAAGAAAATGTTACCTTTTTTAAAAAGCCTCCTAGGTTGACAGGAAAGGCTTAAAAACATTTAGAAAGGCAGGCCTCACACGAGGAAGCCTGTCTTTTTAAAAATTGATCCTCACATTTGCTTTCTACTTGATGGTCTCATGTAAATCAATGGAGAACATACATTTGGCACATACAGAACAAAGTAATGTAATTTTCTTTTATTAGTGAAATTGCTGATTATAAGGCATGGTTTTAACCTTTTTATAAAATTTGAACATGTTTTTTATTCAAACTAGTCCTGGAAAACCCTAGAACACCCTACTTATTTATAGCACTAGAAATACACACTTACCTTACATCAGTTTTGTCCCAAATTGAATTTCTCAGGATTACTGTGATTTGTTTCTTTCCGATTGAATTATACCGACATTCTTGTTGTTCATAGTTGGTTTGCAGTGGTGTCCACCGGTTTTACTTTTCCCCATCAACACGTTACTGTGTCCGACAAGTACAGATAGACTGAACTTCAGGTCCCGCTGTGTGTGTGACATGCTTTTCCAGCATCAGCTACTGCAGACACCTGTCCCTTTTTACTACCGTGAAGTGCAGTGAGTATATAAACCAAAATATTTGCCCCATTATGAATTTAAAAGGCAACAAATACAAGGCCACCTTTTTGGAGGTATAGAAAAAATAAAGCCTTGGATTTTCAAATAGCATGATCTCCATAAGATTCAAATCCACTTTTACTCCCAGTCTAATATTGCCGTAGTATTGTTATTTTTTTAAATATATAATTATAAACATACAAACACACACATGATGACTGGAGTGGACTTCTAAAAAATATTTTTCTCATGAGATACTATTTTAGATGAAATTGTTACTATAGATTTAACGGCTGTTTTGAGATATTTACTGTTATTAAAACCTCAAGAGATATTGTGAATATGCTTTCCCATACAGGCACTAGGAACAGTAAGTGGGCCTGTTGTCCACTAACTCAGGCAAAGTAAAGAACGGCATTTTCAAGTCACATTTTACCTCCATATGCGTTGATTTGCTAGGATTTCTCTCTGTAGATTCATGTCTTTTCACATCTTAAGTTTTCACATTTGCCATTTTCCAAATAATCTAAATTTGGGGCAAGAATGATATCACAGCTGCGGAGGCTGCTTTTGAAAGCGGGGCTCCATTTCTATCACATAAATGTGGTGCTGTAACTGTCTTTTTATCCCTACCTTCGAGAGCTTCCTTGTGTGAAGCCTGTCTTTGTCTGTCAGAAGGTGCGTGAGTCATCACTTCCTTCTGGTTTTATGCATTTGTAGACTATGCATCTTTTCATCAAACTGCAAATATATACAAGATGGATCTAAAATTAGTCATGGGTGTTTAAATTGCCACTGTATGAGTAAATAATCCACTTACCTTTTCTGGAAAACGATGAGCTATTGAGTAACTTTTAGCTCTTTTTTTAAAAGATGAGTGAAATTTAACAGTTATTTTTATGAGCAAGTCACACGAAGAAATCTGAAAGGAATCGCATGTGGTCTTCCAGGGACCTGGGATTGTTCGGTGTGCTCCAGCATTGGCTGGTTTCCAGATCGGGTGTCGAGCTGCCGTTGGATCACTCAGGCACACTAATGGATTCATTCAAATGGGTCCGAGCTGCAGTCCATGAGCAATAACAGACTACCCCGGGTACTGCTATTTACTCAATGCTTGGTAACGGAGATTTGTGAAACAGACTAAGTTATCAGTTCCCTGTGACATTTTAGAAAAGTCTTCTTTTTGACTAGTTGATTTGGAAGAGAGAGCATGCAACACAGCCAGTGTGGTGGAGTGCCAGGGTAATCCTGTTTACAATAAATGGCCTGAATTTAACCTCTGGAGTTTGCATTTGTATTTTTTTTTACAGTTTCAGTGGCCAATCCTCAACCTACTTCTCAACATCCTGACTTGACAATGTTTCTTGCTTTCATTGTCCCTAATACAGAAAGCAGTGAATTTTTAGTTTTAAGTGTATGTGGGTAGCAATGATTTAGGCAAATGAATGGATCAATTCCATGTTCTTTAGAGTGGATTGCTTTTGTAAAACAGGGTTCTCAGTGTGAGAGGCAACTCCTTTTTGTGGGTATTGCCACCCACCCCCAACCCAGGAAGATTTGTCCCTGGCATTACAAGGGGGGAAAAGGATAGGAAGAGAAAAATTTCTCTCCTCTACAGCTGGTTTTTGCATCTCCTTACCACACCTCTGGCAGCGGCAGCGGGTTGGGCAGATGCCCTGTCCCTCCGTGGCTGCTGGCTCCCTGTCAAGATGATCTTTCTACGTCCGGGATTACCGGCTGGCTCAGCAGGCGTTCCAGGAGGAAATCCACTGTCCTCAGTTTCCAGCCTGGGGCAGTGGTGCAGCCCCCTTGGGCAGCATTGCACTCAGGGACTGCTCGGCCAGGGCAGCAGCCCCACCCAGAGGCCCGGAACAGCCCAGGCTTTGTGGCTCCGGGCAGTTTCCCTGCCTCGGCACGCGTGGAAGAAGTCATTGGTCCCCTTCTCGAATTCTGTAATACAGCTGCCAGAATATTTGTTTGTGGTGAAAACCAAGGACTCTCACATACTTACCCCCCTTTTGTGAGGGCAGTTCCTGCGCTCCTAAGCCTCCCCCCTGGCAGGGGCTCTGCCCAGTGGCACCTCGATCCCTATCTTGTGCTGCCTGTCGAATGAAGTTGACTTGTCTTTGTCAACTTGGACGTTGTACACTCCATAGTTTCTTGTGGCAGTGCTTATGCGTAATACTGCTTTGCTGCCTTTCACATCTGAGTCCAGTTCTTCAAAGGCATTACAGCATTTTGGACAGCTCATACCCTAAATTAGCCTTACCTTACTGTTATAAAGTGCTTTGTAGGTTACAGCCCACCTTCACAGACCTTCCACAACGATCATTTGATGTGGGAGGACTGATTAAAATTACCATCCTCCCAGGTTTTCAGAGATGAAAATAGGCTCAGAAAGGCTAAACTAGTTGTCCGGGATCACGCAGGAAGCACTGACTTGAGCCTCCACTCAGATCTTTATATCTCCTTCCGTGTGGATTTCATATATTAGTAGCTACCAAGTCCATTAATGCACTTTGGGGACAGTAGAAAGACAGGTGCTTTTACATTTGTCTGAAACTTTGCCTTTAACATTTACCTTTTACACCCTGTTGATCTCCCAACCTTGGCTTATTTTGGAGGGAGGGAGACCAGATTTCAGAGTCTACGTGCCTCTCCTCCAGTCCACTGTCGTTTGCACTCTGCTGGGCTACCCTGTGGCCCATTGTCACCGCTGCCCGTTGCGTCGCCCTCCCTGTTGGGGTAGTCCAGGCCCTCCTGGTCTGCTACACCCTAAACCAGTGCAAGCGCTCCCCGTCGCCCCTGGAGTGGTGAGACTACCTGGAGCCCTTCAAGAAATTTGCAAAAGGAACACGAAGAGTCACGTTAACCCCTGACCCCGCCACTGAGAGACGACCACATTTGCATGAGGTTTCTTTGCAGTCTTCCCGTGCAGGCGCACCTAGAACGGGGCCACGTGCTCAGCGCTGCAGCTTTTTCCTTCAGTATTCTACCTGTAATGAGAATTTTCCACATGCATACCCTTGGGGAAAAAAGATTTGTTGTTTGGGGGTGTTTGGTGTCAATTATATTGTAGTTTGTCGAATCTGTGGAATGGTTAGAGTGTTTTCAAACTTTGTTCTGTGATAAAACTTGTGCAGAGCATGTGTGTAATCTGATTATTTTGGTAAATTTTTTGATTCTAGAATATGAATATATCATTTGATTTTTCTTACTTTCAGTTTTAATCTACAAAGTTGTAAAAATAGTACAATGAACTCCCATATACCCTTCACCTGATGGTCACCTTTCTCCCTCTGTCCCTTTTTTTTTTAAATCCTCACCCCAGGAACGCTCCCCAACCGGGTATTGAACCCACAACTTAGGTATGCGCCCTGACCGGGAATCAACCTCTCAACCTTTTGGTGTACAGGATGACACTTCAACCAACCAAGCCACCTGGCCAGAGCCCTCCCTTTCTTTTAAGTAGGTTGCAGACCTCATGACTCCTTACTTAATACATCAAGTATCTCCTAATAACATGGTCAGTGTGTACTAAGGAATCTGTACTCACCCAAAGGGAGGTCTGGCCTTTGTCCCCCTATCTTTGTGCAGACACTATACACCAGTTAATTTGACAACATAGATGAAATAGATAAATTTCTTGAAAGATATAAATTATCAAGGCAGACATTAAAAGAAATAGAAAGTTTGAATATCCCCGTATCTTCAGAGTTGGGCACAAATAACACCCTTTGTTTTTATTACAAACTTTTATTAAAAGATCATAAGCATGTAATTCTGTAACAACATCACACTCAAGCATACCATAGGACATTTTAGGTGAAATGTTCATATTAAAGCTATAAATTACTACACCCCTATTATTACCCGACCAACCACTTTCAAGTAGGCATTACTTCTGTCGTATCCTGTATTTAAGAAATTGAGTTACTACCCTCTCCACACAGAAAATTACAAGCCTAGATGTTTTCATTGGTAAGTTCTATCAAACATTTAAAGATGAAATGATACCAATCTTATAACATTTTAGAAAACAGAAAGAACCCTATTTTTGAGGCCAACATTATCCTTATACCAAAATCAGATGCAAGATATTTCAAGTAAAAAAAGCACCAAACCAATCAGCTTTTAAAAAGCCCCCAAAGTCTTCAACAAAATATTAGCAATTTCAATCCAGTAATGTATGAAAAAAAATCCTATATATAGTTGATTTTCAAATATTATGTCAACCTTACATGACAAAAT